ATACAATGTAATAGTCGCTGTATACAATGTAATTGTCACTGTATACAATGTAATCATCGCTGTTTACAATGTAATTGTCACTGTATACAATGTAATCGTCGCTGTATACAATGTAATCGGCGCTGTATACAATGTAATCGGCGCTGTGTACAATGGGGTTTATCACTGTATACCATGTAATTGTCACTGTATACAATGTAATCGTCGCTGTATACAATGTAATCATCACTGTATACAATGTAATCGTCGCTGTATACAATGGGGTTATCACTGTATACCATGTAATCGTCACTGTATACAATGTAATTATCTCTGTATACAATGGGGGATATCACTGTATACCATGTAATCGTCACTGTATACCATGTAATCATCACTGTATACAATGGGGGATATCACTGTATACCATGTAATCGTCGCTGTATACAATGGGGGATATCACTGTATACCATGTAATCGTCACTGTATACCATGTAATCGTCGCTGTATACAATGGGGTTATCACTGTATACCATGTAATCATCACTGTATACCATGTTATTATCTCTGTATACAATGGGGGATATCACTGTATACCATGTATTCGTCGCTGTATACAATGGGGTTATCACTGTATACCATGTAATCGTCACTGTATACCATGTTATTATCTCTGTATACAATGGGGGATATCACTGTATACCATGTAATCGTCGCTGTATACAATGGGGGATATCACTGTATACCATGTAATCGTCACTGTATACAATGTAATCGTCGCTGTATACAATGTAATTATCTCTGTATATAATGGGGTTATCCATTTAATCGTCGCTGTATACAATGTAATCGTCAATGTATACAATGTAATCGTTAATGTATACAATGTAATCGTCAATGTATACAATGTAATCGTTAATGTATACAATGTAATCGTCGCTGTATACAATGTAATCGTCAATGTATACAATGTAATCGTCAATGTATACAATGTAATCGTTAATGTATACAATGTAATTATCACTGCAAACAAAGTAATCATCACTGTATACAATGCAATTGTCGCTGTATACAATGTGTTCAGCGTTGTGTACAAATATATTGTTGTTCCGTTCAGTTTGTACACCGCAATATCTATTGACTGTACATATATACAAACAATATATATATGTTGGAACAATAAGATCCTTGTCAAGTATAGTTTTAATCCATATGTCTTTCATTACATATGCCTTGAAATGTGAGTGAATGTTTATATACAGTGCATTATCAGCCATGGGACACTATTCTCCACTGCAGCATTTAAGCCATTTCCTGTGGAAGTATGTTATTACAAGACAAGTCCTTAAAAATTAAATTGTAAACTAAGTTATGAATTTGTATTGGACATTTTCTAATTTATACCTGGTAAAGTGTGCTCAGACCATGATAGATCATACTTAAACACCTGTCAGTGGATCAGTGTGCCCTTGATTTGCATCCTCAGCTCCCTGGGGAGCATACAACCCAAGCTGCCTGTGAGGTGCAAGGTTGACAGTCGCATTACCATCTCATCCTACCGGGTACCCATTCCATGCTGGGCGATCAGAGGCTCATTTCGAACAAAGTCATCTGCCTAAGGAGTCCCCACATGTGCTTCAGTGTTGGGCAGGACCGAAGCCCAAAACTAAACTCTTGGGAGTAAAGAAGCAGAACACAGTCACCCATCCAAGACTCTCTGCAACCAAGGTTAATGTGATAGCCATGTCATCTTTGTCTTTAATAATGACATCCCCCTCCTGTGACTTCCTATGGGACGAAGGAGTTTCCAGGAACTGTGTTGCAAGACGTAGAGTGTCCTACATCCTTATATTGCAAGCTGACTGAAAGGACTGATTATCCGCCATCAGGACAAGGCATCCAACCTCGGATAAGGTCCACGGTTCAAATCAAATCAAGGGAATGTTTGCTGCCTGCTACATTGGCACCCAATGTGGGACTGAGGACATTCATACTTGTTTGATGCAGGAAATGTTACCAAAAAGGATAAGATTCTTTCATCAGGTTCATAATCGGGGGGGCACGGGTGGCCCAGTCGTCTAAGGTGATGCGATTCGCTGTGCAGAGTTGCGTCCCTTGGGCATGCCAGAAACCTATGATTGTGGTTCACATCCCGGTTCGCCCTGATTATGTTTCTAGGTTTATCAGCACCATACCCGTGCTAGTGGGTTTCACGAAAGTGGTAAACGTCTGAGACCTGCATCACTTCGGGCTTTCTTCCCACATTAAGCTGACACGCCGTGATATAACTGGAATAATGTTAAAAGAGGTGTTACACCCAACTCACTCACTCATAATCTGGATTTAACATTCAGGGTGTAACATTAGCATAACATGCATGCAGTACAAGCTGGTCAGTGTGTGCATATACGGCTGAAAAGAAGTTAAGGACCACCTGTTTCTCTATGATTACTATAGTCATGTCATGACAGATTAACTATAATATGAAATTGGGTGGTCCTTAACTTCTTTTGCAGAGTATATTTTGGGTGTCATGACTAAGCTATCCAGACTGGACATTGAGTATTATTATGTTGTTAGGTGTAATTCACTACATGAAGTGTAGGAGTGAAGAAAATATTTGTTAACCATGGATTGAAGTATTACAAAATGTGTTGGTAACAACTTTTACATTGATAACAATGTATCGTTTGTAGCTTACGGAGGTTTAGTTATTTGCTTATCTCTTGCAATTATAATGTGAATTTGCTAGAAAGTCACTTGTTGCAGAACTGCATTAGTCATAGAGACTGCTGTACTGCTGTACTTCTGTTAACATTAGGAACTACCATTGTCTTAACTCTGAATATGACGAATATTAACCAACTATATACTGCCAAACTCGTATCAACCAGGCCCGGCATTATTTCCCAGAGTTTGTTTTATAATTCCACAATGTTGCCATCTTACTTTGTTATATATACATGTATATCTAGGACTATTGAAGATAGCTGTATAACTATGTACAAATATTTCATATTGAGAGGAAATAAATGAATTTATCCTTGCTTCTATCGAAAACGAGTTGTCTCCCCTTATATTACTCGTCTTCATATTTGTTTAACGCCGCACTCAGCAAAATTGCAGCTAAATGATGGTAATCTGTAAATAATCGAGTCTGAACCAGACACTCCAGTGATTACATCATGAGCATCGATCCACGCAATTGGGATACGATGACATACATCAACCAGGTCAGTGAGCCTGACCACCCGATCCCGTTCGTCACCTCTTATGAGAAGCAGTTGCCTTTTTCGGCATGCATGGGTTGCTGAAGACCTATCCTGGTAAGACCTATCCTGACTGTTGTCCTATTTCTTCAAGAGATTTAATCTCCCTCCCTCTCTGAGGATTATACCATACAAGTTCACATATGAGGGATTGACTCTGGGTTTGTCAGATTTCCCAATGCTTAAATGAGTCATTGATAGCGTCTGTGACTGGCGGTGTGAATCCAATGAAGCACCAGTAAAATGTCCGACTGTGTAGCCTGGCCTGGCCTTCCTGCTGCCCATGACAGCTTGGATATGTAGGAACCAGAAGGTGTGATGTGCTTGGCCCATCTCTGACTTCCTCTCCTTCATAACTACTTGATAATTTGGGCTCCTGAAACTAAGTAGAGTAATATGGGGGGGGGCTTGGATAGACAGGATATATTTTTCGGTCACCGCTTCAAAGAAACATTTGGTGAAAGGAGCTGAACAATTTACATTTTTTCAGAATATCCGGCAAACAATACATTTTATATGAGCAAATCAGAGAAAAACATATCTTTTTCATTTTGTGCTGGCCGGTTTGATAATGAATTTGGTTTGACACAATGTTGAACGGTATTCAACCTGATGTGGGAGGAAAGCCCAAAATAATGCAGGTGTTAGACCTCAAACCATAATTGGCACCAAAAAAGTGCAGTCACACCCACAAATAAATGGGTGTCAGAACAAATCCTGTAACCTTAGACAATTGGGCTACACATGCCACCCGGAAAGCGAGTGAGTTTGGTTTTAAGCCGCTTTGTACCCATGTTGGGACGAACGATGGCCTTGAACATGACGAGCGAACGTTTTAAGTACTGGCTATCCCATCCCGAACCAGGAGGTTCAAGTGTTGGAAACACTGTCCAGGTTTAACAACTAAACTTCAGTTACCCTGGCTTTATTACCAGAGTTCCAACCCGTGACCATCCGGGGTAGAATAGGTCTTCAGCAATCGATACTTGCCGTAAAAGGCAACTATGCTTGTCGTAAGAGGCGACTGACGGGATCCGGTGGTCAAGCTCGCTGACTTGGTTGATGCATGTCATCAATCCCAATTGCGTGATTCAAAGCTCATATCATTCACTGGATTGTCTGGTCCAGACCCGATTATGTACAGTCGCTGTCATATAGCTTGAATATTGCCGAGTGCGGCGTTAAACAACAAAACAACCAACCAGAGTTCCAGATGATGTTCACTGAAAACAGATTTTCGTACAAGTGTCTCCATCTTATCGTTACCATTCACAAGACTGTATTTTATCTTAAAGCAGCTCCCTATCAACCCATGCTGTTGTAAGAGGTGACCAAATGGTGGTCCAGATCTGTGACTTGGTTGAATTTGTGTACCCAACACTCTGGGACGTGGCTCATAATATCAGTCACTGGTTTGTCTGATAAGATACAGGTCATAAAGCAGGAATATTTATGTTTGTTTGTTGTTTAACGCTGCACTCCGAAATATTCCAGCTATATAAAACTGGTCTGTACATAATCTAGTCTGGACCAGACAATCCAGTGATCGACACGATGAGCATCGATCCACGCAATTGCACCAAGCAAGTCAGCGAGTCTGACCACCCAATCCTACTAGTCGCCACTTACAAGCATCGTCGCCTTTTACGGCAAGCATGGGTTGCTGAAGACATATTCTAACCCGAATCTTCACTGGAGGGAATATTTATGAGTGCTGTGCTAAACAATAATGAAATGACAACAAGACTGATATTTGATAACTGATTTCTATTTATTATCTGCTACGACGGTGGTTTGGCTCACGTTAAATAGTATGAAGAAGCAGCCATTTCACCATGCGCATTATGTACACAATGTTCCTCGCTGGCCCACTTCCTGGCAGAGCCACCAACAACAGTCTCCGGACAAGCAACAAAACAACGGACAGCAAGGACAGGGGAGAGGACGTGTCACAGAGCATCCCCCCACATACAACTCACCTCTCAATAGGGATATTCTAGGTGTTACAACAAAACAACGGACAGCAAGGACAGGGGAGAGGACGTGTCACAGAGCATCCCCCCACATACAACTCACCTCTCGATAGGGATATTCTAGGTGTTACAACAAAACAACGGACAGCAAGGACAGGGGAGAGGACGTGTCACAGAGCATCCCCCCACATACAACTCACCCCTCGATAGGGATATTCTAGGTTTTACAACTTAGTGTGCTTGGTTGGTCACAGTATGAAATAGCTCAGACTCCCAATCAGAAGTTGAGTAGTGTAAGTCTAAAGGAGCCAATATTACAACGGTGACATTTGTTAAGGAAGGCCCCCACCGTGGCACTTCTTACAAATCTAGTTGTTGTAATGAAGGCCATCTATCAAAAGAAGTCATTGTTTTCTGATTTATTTATTTTTTAAATTGGGATAATGAATTTTGGGGGGCTATTTTTTCATAGTGAAGACTGAGTACACACAAAAAATATCCCCCAAAATACTCATGATCCTTCATTCTGATTGTTCGTTATGTTTGTGCAATTGTTTGTTGGTTCACCTAGAGACCATATAAAGAGACTAAAAGAGAAAAGATTTGGGATTGCTCGACACTAACAGATTTACGAAATATGTAACGCCAAGATCGTTTTAAAATCAACATGGCCCTTATCCAACCAGCCATTTTCTCCAAGCCTAGCTCTCTTTGCCAAGTTGTACATCAAAAATATTTGAAAACATTGCATTGAATAGCATAGGCAGGTTCAAATTAACCCATAGACACCCTTATCAAACAAACAAGAGCTGTTATATATGAAATCTTTCCTCCCACCTGTCAACCACAGAAAACATCAAACTCTAGCTGAAGACAAATTCACACTTGATGATTGACAGATTTATGAGATTAATCAAAAAAGACAATACAAACAGAGGAATGAGCAATGTATTAACGCTGGTTAAAAAAAATGTGTCTCAGGCATCCTCATGTCACTTTACGTCATTTATATTGGCAAAAATAAATAAAATGTCCTGTCATGTGAAACATACTCTGTTAACCATACATTGTATTAAAGAGCCGTGTTAAATCTGTGGCCAGTTTGTATTGCTGTATTCTTGGTGGTAAAACAAAAAAGTGTTCTGTATCTCTTTTGTTAAAATATTAACTTAAAAAAATAAAGTCATACCTCCATCCTCACTTTTGAGAAAAATTTGCCGGAGAAACATTTTTCTTAAATACAGCCCAAGAGAAACGTTAAGGGTTTTATCTGACACTGTCATGTTGACTGGATCTGGCTCCAATGTTGATTAAATGCTCTTTGATTATTAGTGAGCACCAAAGGGGCAACATAGTCAATTTCTCATGTTTCACATCACCATACATTAAACGGATCGTCATGACAGTAACCATTTTTCTTAAGATAACAAGAGCTGTTTTTTAACACTTGTCACTGAATTTGCCACAAAAAAATAAAAAATTCCTTGGAAGACTTAATGAAAGATTTGACAGTTTTTATTCAGATAGATTTCATTTTAAGTCTATGAGAAAAACCTTTGTTTTTTTTTATTTTACTTTTTAGTCGAGTGTGAGACGCGAGACACAAAGCTGAAGATGGTACCCCTCTAGTTCTCAACTCCTGGCAGTGATTATCTTGTAATGTTAAATTGATGACAAGTACAACACAACTCTGAACAAATAACATGTTGGTTCCACACCGTAACCAGTAACAACGGGTAACCCATGACCTCATTCATGTTGTATTAGATGCCGGTTACCCAACACCTTCAAAGTACGAAATAATCACGACAAAGTTTAACATGACACATGGAACACTGATTTCTTTCTACGGCAAGAGCTAAAACAACAACAGACATTCTCAAAATGCACTTTGAGATTTGAGATTCAAGATTTAAATGCAAGTAATAATAATTACAATAAGTTATGAATAGTTGTCCATACAATAGTACTTTCATAATTTGGCAGCACACGCACATTTAGCAGGACTATTCAGTGAACACAAAAGCATGTCTGATAGGCTTAAAAAAATAAAAGAATTGGTTCTCAGGCAATTGTTTTTTGAAAATATAGTGCGGGCGGGCGGTATCTTTTTTTTTTGGGTGGTGGTGGGGGTTCAAACTAGTATGTAACCAATTAAACAGTTGTGTACCATCAACTTTGGGAAAGGGCCTCCCTCGAGTATTCCTTAATGAGTAAAATACTGGAATATATGACTAAAGTTAGACAATATTTAAGGATTGTTTTGGTTGGGGTTTTTTAAAATGGAAATACAAACGAAATGTGCGGCGAACTTTATGATGATGCGGGCAGTGCCTGAGAATCAAGACTATTATAATTTTGTAGCCATATACCCCTTTATGTAGCTGGAACTGCAGCCGAGCAAACATTCTAATTTATTAAATTTCACGTAATGTTTCACGTGATGTTAAGATATTAACACATACCACAGCATCTATCTTCAGCAGAAATGCATGCACTATAGAATCTCAATTTCACATTTTTTTCCAACACTATTACTTACTGAAAATAGACACATGCTCTTTTATCATGATAATGGAAGACAGTTTAATGCTGTAGTCAGTAGGATATGTGGAAGCTTGGGTACAAACACCCTGAAAACCGTATCATAATTACAACTTTGGTTTTGAAATAACCCAGCATCAGAATGGGTCCTCCCACAGTACTAGTGACAACAAAATATAAGTTCATATTGTTATCCTTCGGATAAACAATACAAAAACTCAACTTTCTTGGTATATGTTGATATACATTTTCCACAAATACACAATTTTAAGTTTCAAATATACCACATGCTATAGAAACCATGCATGACGTAATATCAGTAACATACCAGTCCAGATAAATGCTTTGGTTCCAATTACACAACCAAACAATTTTGGCTAATCAACATTTTTTCCAGCTTTTTCAACTTTCTAAAAATAATGGACAATCCAACTGATACACAAGTGCAAGATCAAACATCCACTTGATCAGAAGATGGACTAGGTTCGAACCTGATTCCAACAGTATTTCAGCAATAGTTGAGGAGGAAAGCCAAAATGTCACAGACCAGATGTTTAAAAGTTTGCTGCTTACAGACCATGGATCTAGTCACAACAGATCCTGGCATACGGAAGGGAAGCAACCCTCCACATGCCCCTAACATTACACACACTGTCCTTGTATTGTAATTGGGTTTAAATGAAGCAGAATTGATTGTCCCTATGCATGACTTAATACCTCCATATTGAGGGCTCTGTGGAGGATTGGTATTACAAAAGCTGTTTTTCCCCCAGACAGTAAAACCAAGCTTGACTCTGTAACCCGAAGTGTCTATTAATAAATCTTCCATGTTCAGTATCGGCTGGGACAACTACAAAATGCATTCACCAATTGAGAGAAGCAATTTTGAAAATAATTCCAATTTATGGAAACAACAATGACAACAACAAATAACCAAGTTCCTACATTTGATCAAAACAAAGGACAAACAAATAATTAATTTGTCGCCGTAACATAAATATTGAATTTTGATGATGTAATGGGAACCACCACATTTGTTTCGTAGATGCGGACGCCACAACGCAGTCTTGAGCTAGACGCTGTAGCTGCCCGAGCTGTTTCCCTCGCTCTCACGTTCTGGAATAACAGTTAACGGCAGTTTCCGGCTTGCCCGTGAACCTGCACTGTCTTCCGATTCAAACACATCATCAACATATTCATTGAGTAATCGTCTCTTTGGCCGATACAGCCAGGGCATTTTCTGATGTCGAGAGGACTGGAACGACGATGCAGCCTGTTCGGATGTAGATCGTGAGTTGCTTGGCAACGGCAGCTGTCTGATCTGCCGTATCACCACATACCCACTGTCTGTGTCATCTGAAACACAGCAATACACATCACATGGTCAGTTCAGCAGGTACAGAGCAACACACTAACAGAACATCTTCATCTTGGTTTGTGAAATGTAGGGCACCTGCAAAATGTAGTAAGGGACACCTGCAAACTGTAGTAAAGGGTACCTGCAGAATTCTCTAAAGGGCATATGCAGAATGCAGTAAAGGCCACCTGCAAAATGTAGTAAAGGGCACCTGCAGAATTCTGTAAAGGGAACCTGCAGGATGCAATAAAGGGCACCTGCAAAATGTAGTAAAGGGCACCTGCAGAATGTAGTAAAGGGCACCTGCAGGATGCAATAAAGGGCACCTGCAAAATGTAGTAAAGGGCACCTGCAGAATGTAGTAAAGGGCACCTGCAGGATGCAATAAAGGGCACCTGCAGGATGCAATAAAGGGCACCTGCAAAATGTAGTAAAGGGCACCTGCAAAATGTAGTAAAGGACACCTGCAGAATGTAGTAAAGGGCACCTGCAGAATGTAGTAAAGGGCACCTGCAAACTGTAGTAAAGGGCACCTGCAGAATTTAGTAAAGGGCACCTGCAGAATGTAGTGTTGATTGTCACATTTCAGCTATATGACGTAGGTCTGTAAATATCAAGTCTGGACCAGACAATCCTGTGACTGATATTGGGAGCAACATTCTATGCCTTCGGGTACAATGCCACAATCAGCAGGTCACTGAGCTTGACCTCCTGTACAGTGGGCATCAGAAGCATGGGCCATGGTGTTACAAGTGTATTATGTCTACATAGCTGCCATGGTGTTACAAGTGTATTATGTCTACATAGCTGCCATGGTGGCCATGTTCAAATTCAGGATTGGAATTCGGTGAGCACTTTTACGGGACACCAGAATAAATATCCTGTTCCAATACCACGTTCGACATTAACATCAGCCCACAGTCCAACACAGGCAAAGTTCAGGACGAGTGACATTTCCTCTAACCACTTGGCAACACTTCCATTAAACCTATTTCTATATATGTTTTTAAATATTTAATAACATAAATATTATTAAATATAATCCTGTTGGCACAAGCGCCTAATTCATAACTTCAAGATGTTCAATGTTCAAATAAACCACCAGCTCTCACAATTTCCTCCTAATACCCCTCACTTGCATCATGACTATAAATATCGCCACACCCCGATCCCTCCCTCCAGTTTGTCAGATTAATTCAGGGTCATCGACTGTTGACCTAGAATTTGAAGCGAAGGCCATTTCCTGTTGTCCTATTATGCTCGTTTCCGTTGAGTCAGACACCTTTTTCAAATAGCTCTTCACTTTGGAGCACTTTGCACTTGATCAATGAAAATAGTGTCAATCCCTGTCATAATATTAATATCTGCTACTCAAAAATAGATCATTTCTTAGTACTATAGACAATCTGTATGCCATGACAGATTAACTACAGCAATATGAAGGATTCATATGGTCCTCAACTTATTTTATATTAACGATTAATAAAAAGTCAGAATGTCTTTGGGGGCAAAAGCTGCTGTTACAAATTGATGTTTGCCTTTTCCTTTGTCTGACCCCCGCTGAATACAGAAGACCTAAGTCAAGGATCTGACATGTCTGTTGATTGACATTAAGAGTGGATCAAATATTGTCATTTTCTTTCTTTAAATTTCTAAATATTGACCAATGTTGGTAATAAAAAAAAATCAATGAAAACATTTTCATCTAATGAATCGTGGTACCTCCTCCTATTTCACAGACCAGGGCTGCCATTTGTAGGCCACAAACCTAACACTCTCTCCTACTCATGTATATTTTTCTGTGAGCAACTGTTGCGTATAGATGTAGAGATTCAACACAACTTGCACATTATAAGAACATTAAATCATTGTTGATTATGTTACAATAAACAAATGCATGTCAAGCACAAATATTAATCTAGGATGGAGTTGTTGGGAAATCAACCTTAAAATTAATATTCACTCCTACCTTAGTACCTAACCAATTATTACTTTATTAAAATGATGAGAACAAGACCATGTTTTAATTGGCTTAGTGTTTTAGGGCTTAATCAGGATTAATTATTATTTCACGTATCAATATATAACGGATCTCGATCACCTTTTCTACAATAATTCCTACCACAAACATGAAAAACATACCTCATACAAACACCTAACTACAAGGTCGTAATATAGCACAGGACATGCATGTGCTGCACCACTCTAGTTCTAACATTAAAGACAGCACTGCACTGCACTGCACTGTTATGGATGGCCAGATGTGTATGTTCAACTTGTTTCAACTCTTGGATGCCCTCTGAAAGTTGTTATAATCAAAATGGAGACATGTACAAAGGGTGTTAAATTGCAGACAAACAGCATGTTGCTTTCATTCCCTCGACAACAGGAAACTGCTCCTGAAGAGAGATTTACCCTAACCAGATTTTTCATCAACTGTGTAACAAAACAAAGCTGACAAACAAACCACACTGAGGGCCTTCTAAACCAATGCAAGCTCCAAGTCAAGACCAACATTCTCTAGAGCTGCTATTTGCCAAGAACAACCCACACAGCAGACACAACGGAAAAGAAAGTCTTTTGTTGAAGCTGCTGGCCTCCATCCTGGCTTTGTTTTAATTTTCTTTGTTGCGATTTGCATCTAAATTTGAACAAAGAATACTCTCATTTCGGTGACTGATGGAATCAGCAGGGTGAGGGGTACATTCTTTTCACAGTCACAACAGTGCTGCCATTCTGGCCATTACCTGTAATTTATGGGTCAGTCAAATGTCACAGGTTAATAATTCATTGTGAAGTTCAGACTGTAAATTATTACTGTGTTAGAACAGTGCTGGACGGTCACAAGTGGATGCAAGTCAATATTTTATTATATATTACTCAATTTTTTTTTAATAAAACACCCGATACTTTCATATTACCATCGTTAATCTGACTTGCCACGTTGTGTCACTTCTGGTAGTATACTAGTATACCTAGTTAGATGTTTCTTATGGGGTGAGACAGCAATTTACTAAGTTACCAGTCACTACTGAAGGATGGGAATTATTTCAGACATTGTTTGGAACATATATACATTTATCAAACAAAATAGATGAAATGAAATATGGAATATCATTTTTCTTGTAATAGTTTAGTGCCATTTCCAATAAAAACACTTTATTTCATCAGTGCAACAGCGTGCAGCTATTAACACACGATTCATTCATTTCAATTTTGAAAAATTTGTTAAAATGGTTCTAGAAATAATATTTTCACACTGTTTGGCACCCATTCAAATGATGTATCCAGAATCATTTCATGAGTTCTTCCTTCCACAAATTTAATCTTTATACCAGCAATTTGAAAGTAGCATGCCAACCACTATAAGCATTTCTTCAATTTAATTTTGTAATGGAATCAAGTCTCTTCGTAATCATGGTAATAGGGGTAAAAATTAAACTAAAACATTTACCGTATTCAACGTAATAAGCGCCCGGGGCGCTCTCAAAATTAGAAATAGGGGGCTCTTATTAGAATATTATTTTGTTGAAATAAAACAGAGTTGAAAGATAAATGTCGTTGTATATGCTGACAGCCTGAAATGTTTATGTACCACAGATATATTTTTCCAGAATTTAATTGCCCATAAATAAGGGTGCATATAACACACGTGTGCGTATTATACCGAATAAATAAATCTTGTGTACATTGATCAATCGGAAGGGATGCAAATTGGGCTTGTTCACTAGCCAATATATCAGCAAATATCGCCGTGGGCGCTTATTAGAGCGGGGCGCTTATTACGTCGAATACGGTAAGTTCCTGAATAATGACAATATGTCACAAATGTGGACATCCCCAAAACTCCCGATATTCTAACAGCCCTTTGGATAGCATCAATATTAGACAACCTGATTTTGGGGACAAGTGTCAATTTCTGTCCCAAATTAAGCATAGCAAGTCAGTATGAACTCAGTGCAGCCTTTCAGAAGTTAACTAAAGCACAATCCAGACAAAACGTTTAAACTTGCAAATTCCTCTGAAGCACTTCTTTATACCCTTAGCATGAAACCTACACCGAAAATTAACGTCATCCTTTAAAAAGTTGCATGAATTCCGACAATGTAGCCCTGAGATTATTGCCAGTGTTGAAGAGGGATTACCTCGGGGCTACAGGAAGTGGGGATCAGTGGGTCTGTGTACCAGCCCAGGAGCCATCACTTGCATAGCCAGCTCCCTTTACAAACTCACCCCCTGGAACAGATCTCCGTTATTTCAACGGTTACTGAATCTATTGTCACGGTTACCCCATGAATAAAGAAGTAATGTTTTTGTGTGTGTGTGTGAATGGAGTTCTCTAGTTCTAGAAACAGGTATTGTGTGTTGAATAGTGGATGCTGCAGGCATTATGTCAGGACACAGAACTATGCAGGGACCCCCCGAGGGTACTATGAAGGGGTGTGGCTGGGTGGCTTAAGTATAAAGTTGTGAGGTGCTAATCACCTAGATATTAATATGATGAAATCAAGTCAAAACTTATATCAATATTAAAAAGGTAGTTTACAGACGGAAGATTCTTTTCACTAGACAGGTTGCTTTAAATTCTACTTAACTGTCTTACGAGCTTGTACTAATCTCAAAGACTGAGCATTTTACTGGGGTAGACACAAATTAAATCCAATAGTCCACAGCTCATTTTGGACTGGTGGTTTTAAGTCACAACTAAATTTAAAGGAGGCCATTGAGCGATACCCAGAGGCTGGAAGACCTGAAGTTACATGTGACCTAAATATATCAACTATAGTTTTTAATCTTACTAGAGTTTCCTAACATTTTAAGTTATTTGAAGATCATCATTGAGTGACACCCAGAGACTGGAAGGCCCAAAGTCACGTGTGACCTAGAGAAAAATACAACTGGTCCTTCCTGAATTTTGGTAGTCACAGGCTAGCACACCAGTGGTCATATCTGACTCTGCCTAAAGATGTGTAGAAACTACAAGAGTCCTAGAGTGTCTCGGGCTTTCTGCCATAGTAGCTGTCACTAGGGGCGAAACAATACATCGGTGCACCGTGAATTTTCATGCAACGATACTAAACATTTATTTTTATAACAATACAAGACAAAACATTGGCTAAAATATATTAGTTAATACTCGTTTATTGACACCCCCACCCTGAGCATTCTTGTCCGTCAAATATTGCAAAGTGTGCTGTAATTAGCATATCAATTTCACCACAGAAAAGTAACATCTACAAACACATCTACAAACATGTCTACAGCTAGCTTTTCCTTTCCTAATCTTCTATTAGGAAGAAGACAGAAAGATACTTGTTGCTAACAGTATTTAAAAGAGTTCTCAAAGCATTGTTAGTTAAGCAAATTTACCAGACAGTGCAGGGGGAAACGACAACTCGGATACACAGTGATACCTTCGATCGGAAGCATGATACACAAGGACCTGTATGTCAATACAAAATACATATTTGGGGGACAGATATGAGGGAAGTTTCTACCACAAGTTTAAGTGGTTGTTGAATTTTTTCTTTGAATTAAGAAATCTTTTCAGTTCATTGTCCTTGTGATGCTATTCTGGCATATCGAGATACGTGGCCACTAGTTCATCAAGATACGTATCGCAGTCAGTGTATCCAGATACTACCATGGCTATTGTATCGAGATATGTTGTGTCTTGGCCAGCATATCAAGATCTGTACCGTGGTCAGTGTATCAAGATAGGTATAAATGAGTGAGTGAGTTGTGTTTAACGCCGCTTTTATCAGTATTCCAGTCATATCACGGCTTGTCAGCTTAATGTGGTAGGAAAGCCCGAAGTGATGCAGGTCTCAGACGTTTACCACTTCGGTGAAACCCACGAGCACGGGTATGGTGCTGACAAACCTAGAAACATAATCGGGGCGAACCGGGATTCGAACCCACAATCATAGGTTTCTGGCGTGCCCAAGGGACGCAACTCTGCACAGCGAATCGCGGCGCCTTAGACGACTGGGCCACCCGTGCCCCCAGGCACATTGAGATACATAACTATATTGTAAATAGGTGAGGTGAAATGGGGTTTAACATCGCGTCCAAGATTATTGCACTTATATAGCGACGTGCATGTTAGCGTGTATTTGTGTGACTGCTTGTACTAGTCCGGACTGATGCCGATTTATAGTGCTAGCCCAAGAGATACCATGCCGCAGTTTAACATGAATACGCCACTCAGACACAGTATACTGACTCTGAGCCGACCAGTCCTTGTTTTAGCCCCTTAATGCCGAGCGCCAGACAGGGTAACAACAAGTACCATCTTTTAACGTCTTTTGGTATGACGCGGCCGGGGATTGAACCCCGGACCTTCCGCTCTCCGGGCGGACGCTCTACCACTAGACCACAGAGGCGGTCTCCGGGCGGACGCTCTTTCTTGATTAAAAAATTAGGGCCTTTCTTTCAATGCTAGGTTTTGCAAATATGAATGGCTTCCCGGAGAGGGAGCTGCAAGCAGACACAGATGGGTATAGCACTATTAATTTAGTTCTGAAATATTTACCGGGAAACAGGTTTTCAAGTTAAAATACCCAAATGTCATGAAACAGGTTGGTATAAATATTTTGAATACACTCTAAAAATTGTGGATACCCAATCAAAATCAAAATATATAATATCCAAATAACCAAAAGCTTATCCATAGCTCTGCATACCATGACCAGTGTTATATTGTGACCAGTGTATCGAGCTATATACAACACATCCTCGCCTTTTGTAGCGGTGCAACGCTTATTCTTGAGGTTATTTTGTTGCATTTTTCGTCCCCAGGCATGATGCAGCTGATCATCTGGCCACCTCCTATGCAGGGATTGTCAGGAACATGTGCATCGGTACAGTGAGTGAGTTGGTCTTGATATCGCTTTGAACAATATTCCAGTTATGTGATTTATATCACAGCATGTCAGCTTACTATGAAAGCCCAAAGTGATGCAGGTCTCAAACGTTTACCACTTCGGTGAAACCCACAAGCACGGGTATGGTGCTGACAAACCTGGAAACATAATCTGGGCAAACTGGGATTCAAACCCACGATCATGGATTTATGCTGTGTCCAAGGGACACAACTCTGCAAGCTAATTGTGGCGCCTTGGACGAGCCAGCCAATCATGCCCCTGTATTGGTATACTGCTTTAACAGATCTTCCACGTGGCTAGGGGCCGAACCAGTGTCCGAAATAACTGCCTGCCTGCCTGCCTGCCTGCCCGACTATCCGTGGTCTGTCGGTCTGCATGACATTTTCCTCCACCTGCCCGACTATCCGGCAGATAATTTTAAGATTATTTATGTATCCATTTTAATTATTAATCATTGTAGATTCTAAAGTAATCATTTGCATTATTTCAACTGAAGCAAGACGTGACTTGTCTCATAGTTTTGGCGATTTTTCAATAATTATAATGACTGAATGCTGGCAGGTCACTTTGCAGATGGGCAGGCAACACTTATGTTTTAAAATTATTTCAAACACTTGCTAATACATCCTCAATTATTCAACATATTATAGAGAATTTATACATCAACCATAAAATGGTATGAGTCTGAGAAATCACTTGAATCTTCGGGGCTTGTTGATTCCCGTTATGGAAACAAAAGATTCTCATGACTTCTCCAATACACAATGGAATGGAGATATGATACTATGATCTTTGGATATCACACAATTCACATAAACTTAACACCCCAATGAACCTGACAAAAGCTTACAGCCAGAAACCCCATCGTCTATACTTCTCACTGGATAGCCACGTATGTAATAAGTCACATATTTCTTCCCTTTCTCTACAACATACCCATTCTCAGCAATATTCCAGCTATGTGATGGCAGACAAACCAGTTATCGATATTAAGAGTAACATCTCACATTGTGGGGTACAACAACATACAATCCACATTCAACAAGCCTGACCACCCAATCCACTCAGTCATCGCTTACGACCAGTATACGCTGCTAGGGACCAGTTCTGACCGGAATCCCCACAGCGGAATCATGAAGTAAAAATTATCAAGCTAAAGGACTATCATAGCTGATGTGTAACATCTAGGGCTGGGACGATACACCAACTGTGCGATCCAATATAAATCACAATACCTTGCTCACGATCCGATACATTTTCTGACACTTGCATGTGCACTTATCTGTAGTGCGTAAGCCATCTTTTTCATACACAGGATTGCCAAATACCTGGACCACTAATGATTAACAGTTGGCAGTGTCAGGTATGGCGCAATGGATGAAAATATTTACGTTTTCACTACTCATTTTCACTAGTAATTAGTGTTTGGTGTAACACTATTTTCAATAAAACATTTAAGGTAAGAATCGATACATTTTACTTGATGTGTGGCTGTGAACAATACTTTTATCGGGAAGTAAACAATTGTGATCCACTGATGCATCAGTGTATCGTCCCACCACTAGTAACGTCTCAATCCTAGTTATTAAGAATCCCTCAATTCCTGCATAATCCCTTCCCTACCAACATCTGCATCAGAACCTACCGTAGTCATCCTCTTCCGGCCGTTTTAAAGCCGCTGTTTCGTGTAACTTTCGACATGCACACAGTACTATAATGGTTGCCACGACAATCAACGCACACAACACTCCAATGAGGGCAAAAGCCAGGTTTCTCCAGTATTCTCCCTCGTCCTTCGTTATCGCAGGTATTTCCTTGATGGTAATGTCATGACCTGGGTCAGAAGCACCTTCCTCTTCTTTGTCATTGGTATACTGGACCGTATCTATCTGGTTGAAGTTTCGGAATTCTGTGAATGACTTGCACTGTACATCTTGAGTCTCTGTGCATGGCTCCTTAATGATCTTGTTCTGTGGACATTTTGAACATTGTTCACAGGCTTGGGTATCTTCGTTGAAGAACTCCGACCCTTTCCTGCACCTCCCTGTTGCGAGGGATATGGTACAAAGTGTCAGTGCCAGGTACACAATTGCCCCCATCCTGTACCACATATCACTGCCAAGTCAGCTTCATCCTGAAACAACGACAATCACCATTAGACTGAAAGATGGTTCATACTTGCAGTTGGCACCACAGGCTGTACTTCAATCAACAAAGGTTATGGAGTTTTATTTATTTATGCATTGAACACTGCAACAATTAATAAACATTTTCTGCATGTCTATCGGTGTATCGTGGATTAATGCTTATGTCATTTCTACATTTAGTTAGATATGAACATGTGTCTCTGCACTATGATATGAATTAGGGCTGGGACGAGTCCAACTTTACTACCCACTGCAGGTTTCAAGTTTTACAGGAGTCCTGGCAAAAGCTGCTTAGATACATGCACCAAATTATCAGATCATGCATACACTGAAGTTGACAGAAACCTTATCTTTATTCTCTTTTCATGTTGGAATTTGTATCTGTGTGAGTGGTGTGGCAATATATTTATTGATACTATAAAGCAGTTTCTGCAGAAACATATTACACCATGTACACAGAACAAAACGTACTCTGTGTGCAGAGAGTTACTTTCTATTGATTGGACATTGAAGATTATTCTCCCTCTGCAAACTTTCCATTGACTGAATGGTCAGGCTTCATAATGTTATGATTTTGAGGATTACCTATACCCATTCAATCATGTGCTGGAGAATATGGAGGCATGCTACTGATTTGACCAAAACTCTATTAATCAGGCATCTAAAATAATTTGGTTTGAGATAGGGAAAATAAATCTATGATATTCTGTGATAAGTTGAACGAGGCTGGATGGTTTGGCTATCAATAAAATCTTTTAGGAAAGAACGTCAGCAAAATAAACTCTGCAAGTGGATAATTTACCTTTTATGGACAAGACAAACAAACTAAATACACTCCCTTTAAACAAGCTCATTCCATAGTTGTGTATATCTACACCACTCACCACATAACCGTTCGTCACTATAACTCGTATAAAATCACTCGTACTAAAGTATTTTTCGAAACCAGCTTGGCAGTCAGGTCCGGAAGCTGGCTTGTGGATTAGAAAAGTTAAAAACATCGCAAAGTTGTCAGTTTTGTTTTCGATGTCCAAGAGCATTTGTCATAGTAAATCCCTGTCACGTGGACAGATAGGCATACACATTATACTTATAAACTCACCCATGGACCTCGAAAGGGTCCGATCTGGAAAATGATCCCGTGAACTCTTCAGAAGACTTGACGTACATTGGATTTCATCTCTCCCTTTTGTCACACATGGCTCTCTCCCAGAATTCCCTGATGTCACGTGACGGGCACCGTGCACGAATCGGTCCAGCCTGAAACGCGATTACTTCCCTTGGTTTTCATATCTATGTTTTCTATTTCTATATTTGTTCAACAAGTTATTATTTTGTTGATACAATCTTATAAGTTTAATTAAAGTATATATATTTGCCAACTAGATTCAATGCTGTATTTTCATTAATCATATATTTTTTACGCAAACAAATACACGCTCAAAGGAAGCATAGTTTCATACCATTGGCTAAAACGACATATTTTACATCAGCGGATTTGTATGATGAGAAGAAATGCTAGTATTACTATATAGTTAAATATTCCCAAGCTTACACGCACTATCTTGGAGTCTTGATTAGATAAACACCCTGACAAAATGCAAATTATGTCCTGGGATTTTAGGGTCCCCTAGTAACCATCGAACATGCCACTTGCATGCATTAAGACGTATATCAACCCTCAAGCACGTGATATACTTGTATATTCAGTAATAAACCAGGAAAAGAAAACAATGAGACGTCAATTAACACCTGCGTTATTAGCAACTTACGCAAATTGATGTTCCTTTGTCCAGTTAATTGACTGCTAAATTAGCAATCCATTATAACACTTAATGCTCTAATGCTAATTGCAAATTTCAACCACTTAAATGACGTGAGTTAATTTATTACCACTCGATTAAACACAATGGCGACTTTGCATGAGATAACAATAGAGAACATTAGACACTTTAACATACAAAAACACATGTACTTGGCAGACGATGCCTAGAATATACCAGCAGCTGGACGGCGATCTGGTTGTTGCTATTTCAAATTGGTCACGCAAGTATATTCTGCAGATAAATGGAAATACGAAAATGTGTGACCGATAGCGTTTCTAGATAATGGAACATGAGTGTTGCTACTTAAGTGATAATTAGTAAAAGACTCAATTGTAAACATTCATTTCGAAACAAATGCGTTTGCGCTTTGTCTCAAAGGAAGTGAAGACGTTGGAACAACCAGGTCAGGGGGGTGATATTATGTAGTTTGTATTGGAACGCCTGTGTGTCATCATACCTTATCGGCGCAAATAGTTATTTCCTCATGCAGAACAACGCAGTTCGTATTCGAGTTAATTCCGTGACTCGTTTAGCCAGGATAGTGTTGCATGCGGTGTGAAACAACATTCATGCACATTTATTCTTTAACCATTTCAAGAGACATGCTGATGCTACAAATGTTCGAAACCGATCTTCACAGATCCTGGTTTGGAAATGGTATTTTACGAGCGCATCTTTCACTTCATCATGCGCACAAGTTTGAATGAAACCATCTCGACTGTAATGTTACGCCTTTCTTTCCACGATTTCTAACCACAAATGTTGCAAATACCACTCTGAAAGTACCCAAACCCCCCTACCCCACCCAATGAGTGAAATATACTTGACCTTGATAAGTATTTAACATCAAACATGATCTGTGTGTACGTATTTGCCTACAGCCTGAAATAAAGCAATATCTGTTAAAGTCCTCGTATGACCAATGACTTTGCTAATATGTAACCCTACGGCTGACTATAATACCATCACAAGAGGTAATCAAAGCTTTTCATCACGTGAAGAGTGAATTTTGGATACAGATTAATTTTGTTTCATAAGTCCCCGAGTTAATCAGAGGGGACTACAACGAGTGAGTGAGTATGGTTTTACATCGCTTTTAGCAATATTCCAGCAATATCACGGCGGGGACAGCAGAAATGGGCTTCACACATTGTACCCATGTCGGGAATCGAACCCGGGTCTTCGGCGTGACGAGCGAAGGCTTTAACCACTAGGCTACCCGACCGCCCCTAGGGACTACAAAGAAGCCTGGTCCAGATAAACATGTGGTTGATAGTGCGAGCACAATCTACATCATGGTCTATGATGAGATACGACGAGCCAGGTCACTGTCGTCCAGCTTTTCGTGATATAGAGGGGTGGCTGAAATGTCCGGAGACTAACCATCATGGAGTGCACTGATGGAGCTGGATGCAAATTATATTTCAAAGTACCATACTTCCTCTATTAGATGTTTGGGCGTCTATTAGTTCTGTGCAAGCCGTGGACCATGCGTCTATTTCATTTAAGTGCAAATACGAAGGGTACATTTCGCAGGAAAAGGTCTTTAACAATAACCGGAACTTTAGCCTTGGTATTCTCACGCAGTTGCAGGGTCGATGGTAGCGTCACCAGTGGCTATTACAAGTTATGTCCCTTCTATGTCCCTCCTATTGACCAATCAAATTCCACATTGCATATCACTTGCATTTGCTTCAAACAAAATGGTGTCGCCCAGTGAAGACAATCTGATCGATAATCAAGATCTATATTGTAATAAAATGGGTCTTGCTTCGCAAAGTGCATCAAATCACATGATCACCATGATTAAAACATGAAAATATTTGGAAAATATCTGTCGACGCCCAGTTGACGTTACACATGCTCTGCCATGTTGTTTATGAACCGGGTGTCGATATTGTTACATTATTTTGATTGGACTATGCATAGACTTGTTAGTTCAGGCAAAATAAAACTCCATAATTCCAGCCTAATTCGACCAGGTGGAAACTAAACTTTTAAAGTCAGTTAACTCTCTTGCCTCGGGGACATGGCATTGATCTTCAGTAACTGATACTTGTAAGAGGCGACTAACTGAATTGGGTGATTGACTTCGTTGATGCATGTCACTGATCCCAATTCCGTAGATTGATGCTCATGATGTCAATCACTGGTTTGGCTGGTCTAAAATTAATTGTTTACAGACTACCGTCATATAGATGGAATATTGCTGAGTGTGGCGTTAAAAAACAAAACAAACATAAGGTGAGCTATGATGAAATGAGTGTTTTAATACAATATACAATGTGTTGATACAATGTTCTGATACAGTGTACATCAGCTCAAGTCCAGGGGCTTTGAGCTGCAGAACGGGTCCTCAATCCGCATGAACACGGCAAGCAGCTTATCTCCCTTGTTTCGTGTGACCTTCTGACCTTCCTCTGTACTGTCAAACAACTTGTCCACAATGATGTCTCCCTTCTGTAAACAGGAAGTACTCGCTGAAGTGTTCTTGGAAATATATTACACTGCACAGACATGCCAAAAATTATATCTACCTGTCTGTAATAAAATTTGTCCTATCATTTTGGTATGTGAATGTATGTATCTGTTAAACTTATGTCAAGATTTCAGTGAGTTAGTGAGTAAATAGGGTTTCATGCTCTAGACCAAATATTTCTGTAGATTAGGTCACTACAGAAGGCAGTACAGTATATTGGGAGCACGGGTGGCATAGTCATCTAAGGTGCCACAATTCGCTGTGCAGGATAGCATCCCTTGGTCACGCCAGAAACCTCTCATCGTGGGTTCGAATCCTGATTCACATCGAAATAGTTCAAGGTTTGTCAACACCATACCTGTGACAGTGGGTTTCACAAAGTGGTAAACATCTGAGACCTGTATCACTTCAGGCTTTCCACCCGACTTAACCTGATACGGTGAGATATAACTGGAGTTAAAAACCCAACTCACTCACTCATTGCACAGTATTCCAGTTATATCGCAGTGTCAGTGCCATGTAGGAGGTAAGCCCAAAGTGATGCAGGTCTCAGACATTTACCACATGAGTGAAACCCAAGAGCTTCGGCAGGTGCTGACAAGCCAAGAATCAAAACTAGGCTGAACCTGGGATGAGTAAGGGACACAACTCTGCCGTGAATTTTGGCACCTTAGCCCACTGTCTCACTTGAGTCCCATTAGTGTATAACTGAATCTTGAAAAAATCTCCATAAATATATCAGTCTTTAAAAAACCGCCTGCCAGAACGTCCGAGACTGTCTTTTTTACTGGCGGACAGTTTTGAAAAGTTGCACGCCCAATAGTCGGGAGTTATAGTAACTAAGTTGACAATCCACCAGTTAATTGTTATTTTCTGAGAACTAACATTAAACAGTACTATTCTTATGTTTAGCCTTTCGTTACTTTTGTTCATTCGCCCAGAAAATTCTGAACTGGCATATCTGGTCTGTTAACCTGCTAACTTGCAGGTCCAGTTGTCTGAGTAAAATTTTGGGGAATTTTATACACTGACGATGCCACTGAAACAAAATTACTGTATTTAACGTAATAAGCGCCCCGGACGCTCTCAAAATTAGAAATAGGGGGTTGAAAGATTGTAAATTTGATGGTTTATGCTGACAGCCAGAAATGATACAAAAGAAAAGTCTGTGCGTATTATACACGACAGATATATTTTCCAGAATTTTATTGCCCATAATTAAGGGTGCATATAACACACGAGTGCGTATAATACACGAATAAATAAGTTTTGTGTACATTGTTTGGAAGGGGCGCTAATTGGGATTGTTCACTAGCCAATATATTAGCAAATATTGCGGTGGGCGCATATTAGAGAGGGGCGCTTATTACGTCGAATACGGTAACTTGTCTTTCTATTCTTTATTTGAAGATCTAACCTACCCTCATGTTGTGCTTGTGGCTAAAAGTTTTAAAGATATTTAATTTGTAAGAAATTCACATTTAAATAGTTACTTTCTTCCGCTAGTTTACTTACCAAATCGTCTTCCGACATGCGCTGGAACAAGGGAAAGGCTTCGAAGTGCTGCACCATCCACTCATGAAGATCCTTCACATCTGTTATTGTGTACACTTTACCCTGCAACATCAATAATGTGCATATCAATAATGTGCATATCAATAATGTGCATATTAATAACATGCATATCAATAATGTGCATAATCAATAATGTGCATAATCAATAATGTGCATATCAATAATGTGCATATTAATAACGTGCATATCAATAATGTGCATATCAATAATGTGCATATCAATAATGTGCATAATCAATAATGTGCATATCAATAATGTGCATATTAATAATGTGCATATTAATAATGCACCAAATCAACACCCTAAAGCATGCTCAAAGTGCTACCTCACTACCCCAGTCAGCGGATCAATTGCACTTGATTTTAATTCTCAACTCCCTGGAGAGTATACAACCCTAGCAGCCAGTGACATGCTAGAGGGTTCACAGCCACATCACCATCTCATCCTACCGGGTACCCATTCACTGCTGCATTTGGACAAAGTCACCTGCCTAAGGAGACAAGACATGCTACATGGGCTTCAGTGTGGGCAGGACTAATGCCCTAGAAACTCTCAGGAGTCAAGCTGCTGAACGTGTTCACCCATCCAACTACTCTCCGGGACCAATGTTGCCATTCAGAACATTCATCATGAACATGTCGTACACCAGTGACAAGAGTGACAAAGTGAGAAGGATGTTAAGAGTGTGTCAGCTCTGTGTGTGCCTCAAGCTTTGCTAAAATGGACAACACAGCTCAAACTCTGAAGTCTTATATCTGTATGTACTGTGGACTTAAGACCCGTGAAGATCCGGGTTAGAATAGGTCTTCAGCAACCCATGCTTGCTGTAAAAGACGACTATGCTTGTTGTAAGAGGCAACTAATGGCATCAGGTGGTCAGGCTCGCTGATTTGGTTGATGCTTGTCATCTGAACCAATTGTGCGGATCAATGCTCATGATGTCAATCACTAGATTGTCTGGTCCAGTCTCGATTATTCACATACCGCCATCATATAGCTGGAATATTGCTGAGTGAAGATCTATTCTACCCCGGAACTTCACGGGTCAGGATACAATGACATGAGTCAACACATGGGCGGATACAGCTTTTTTGAAAAGGGTGCACAATTAAGATCTATTTATTGTCTTTGGTGGTAATTTATACAGAAATAAAGATTTTTTTTAAAATAAAAAGGGGGGGGGGGGGTGCGCACCCCCGCACCCCTCTGTATCCGCCCATGCAACAACATCAGTAAGTCATGTCTTGCGACAAGCATGGGATGCTGAAGACTAATTCTAACCCAGATCTTCACAAGAGGAACCTGTATAAAACTAGGTGCACAAAGTCAACACTTACGCCCACGCGGAGTGTGTATGCATATTCCGCTAACAGCGTCTGGCTGATGATCCTCCACTTGTGTTTTGTTTTCTTGAAGTGGGGGTCCGGAAACAGGAAGAACATCTTGGACAGCTGGAGTGAGTGAGTGAGTTGGGTTTTACACCATTTTGAAAAATATTTCAATTACCAAGAAACGCCATACAGGCAGTCAACAAAGGCCTAATGGCAACAATTTTATAATACTTTTTCAACATTAAAAAATTTATATGTCCACCATATGGATAATGTATTATGGTCCATGGTCTGCCTTGATTCAGTCGAGTATTGAATACCTTGGACTCGACACTGTGTCTGTGTAACTAGGGTAATCACTAATTGCTAAATTCCTTTTGGTACGCAGGATGCCGACCTCTCTTAAATGGTATTCCTTGGATGCCGCAGTGCATTATACTAGATGCCATGAAATGTTTACTAGTATGCAGAAGCCAATATTTCAATGTTTTTTTCTTTTTTCTTACACAGTGACAATTCAATAAACATTTAGGTCTGAACTTATGAACATGCTGGGCCATGCATTCTGTGTGAAAATACCAGTCTAATTTGCTTGTACCAGCTGCGTACACTGATATGACTCAAGAGTTCTTGAATTAAATGCCAGGTGGAATTATGTGGTACGCTTGATGCCTAGAAGTGGGTTGGCGACCTCAGGACTGACAGTCTGCCAGGCATGGTCTACATGTACATCACACGTGTGTAGCGGTATGGCAATACAGTACTATGTCACGATACGAGAATACAAGACATTGATTTACATCCCCCGTATCATGATACATATGATACATTACATTACAAGTTACGTTGGTGTAGTTTGTTTGTTTGTTTGTTGCTTTACGCCACACTCAGCAATATTCCAGCTATATGACGACGGTCTGTAAATAATCGAGTCTGGACCAGACAATCCAGTGATTAATATCATGAGCATCGATCCACGCAATTGGGATCGATGACATGCATCAACCAAGTCAGCGAGCCTGACCACCCAATCCCGTTAGTCACCTTTTAAGACAAGCATGGGTTGCTGAAGACCTATTCTACCCCGGATCTTCACAGGTCTATGTTGACAAAAACTATAGACAAACAACCAGATTTTCATATATTTCTGGTTGGCTATAAATAGCATAACATTCACAGTGCCCTCTAGCCTGTATGATTCTGCCCTACAATATATCATCTTCGATCTCTGATATCTAACAACAAATTGGGGTACAAATTGTATCAGGATACATATTGTATTGCGCCCAGAGTGTTACAGCTCCAGCTACACCTACCTGTCCTTTGAAGAAGTAGTTCGGCAGGTACTTCATGGCATTAGTTCTAATGCAGGCAATGTTCTGATAGTGTTCCGGGCTCTGTTCACGCAGAGCTTTGATTCTGTCCTTGACGTAGTCAGACACTTTGACCCGAATTTCCATCCCCAATATCAGCGACTCGGGAAACAAGGGAGACAACTGTACTACAAAAGAGAAAACAGCTATTTCAGTTTCCTTGTTGCACTCAGCAATATTCCATCTAATGATGCGGCATGTTGTATATTTGGGGCAGGAACAAGTGGCAACGAAAACCTGTAATGGGGGTTTCTATCATTTACTGAGGATGGCGTCATCCACGTACACTGATGACGTCACGCACGATGTAGTTCACACACAGTAGGCGTGGCACTGCTGTAATGTAAACAATACCATGTGTTTCTACAGCACTCAATAGCATGCAAATATAATATACTACGGCAGACTGCACATAATAGACTCTGGACCTGACAATCCAGTGAATGATATAATGTGCAACAATGCCATCAGGGTATGACACAAAATCAAGCAAATCACCTGATCGCCTGATCTAATATGTTGCCTCTTACAACAGGGGCTAGTCCTGCACCATGACTGTGGAATACATTTATTTTATGAATAAAATATAATCTTGAAACGCATACAAAAGCAAGTCTAGCCAACTCTAGTTGGCGCTATTCCACAATTTTTATTTTATTTTTAGAGTCTTTCAGGAAAGTGTGTAATATAAGATTTCAGAGACTAAATGTTCGTCTAAACAGGGGCCCACTTGCTCAAAGCGATCGTAGCTCTACCACCATTGTAATTCTATGTTAAAGTACGGGAGTACTGATCCTCATAGGACTCAGATCTTTCTGTGGGGCTGCTGGGACCTGTTCTAACCCAGATTCCATGATGGGAGATATTTAAGGTATACTTATTGAATAAACACAGAGCTCCAGATAAGCTGCGTATCTGCGTAAAATACGCATCAGAAATGCAGAAATATGCAGTCAAATAAAATCCAAGCGTATCAAATACGCAACGAACATTACAGATACGCTACAAAAATAAAACTTGTGCGTATCATCAAAATATTGTGAAGTAACCCTGCGTACCCGATTAGCAAATCAGCAACTTATTTTGAAATTAAAAACGGGCATTCCACCAACCTTGCCAAACTCGATGACAGTTACATCATGATCATTTGCCATCACACTTTCTTGTGGAAGTATCGTGGTATTTTTGAGTCCTATAAAGCTCTCGAACCCACACGACACCAGTTAGCAGGGACTAGATGAATAGTATTTTTAAATATTTAACTTAAATACCCACATGTGTAAAAACTTGTGGGTAACAGAAATTTGAATACCCCGATAGAATTACTGATACCCAATGATTTTAAAATGCATGGGTAAAATACCCACAACACCAAAAGCTTATCTGGAGCTCTGATAAACATGTTTTGTAGACAAGTACATGAATATTGCTATAGCCTGTATCAGTAATATTGTATCTATTAAATGAAACAAGATTATACACAAGTCAGATATGTGACTGGACCACAGTCAATGATATTTATGCCCGAACAACAAACAAGCCAGTGATACACCTAAGGTAACACAGAGGACACTCCCAAGGTGTTGTGTCGTTTCAAAGAAACTTTCAGTCATATCATGACATATCAGCTGAACTTGGTGAATCCCATGATTTAAACATATTTTATTCAGATTGAAATGGATTGGGAACAAGTTATCCAACTTAGGACTCCCTCTCCATGGTATTTACAAAGCTTGTACAGTAAATCATATACAAGAAAAACAGAAAAGAAGATGAGTGTAAAGATAACAAGAAATGTACAAAAGAGAGAGACTAGTATATGTACATTAAAGTGTTACCCAAATCTCTTTGTATGACTTATAAACATTTGCACTGCTTTAAAGATGTGTTGATTTTCGATAATGGACAAACATTCATTTCCGTTTAACATCAAATTTAAATCTAATTTAGCATTTTTGTTCACGGCGTTCTGTAAAATGTCCCGAATTATTATTAACATAGTTTTTCTTTGGTGGACGTACAATGGACACTTTAATAAATAATGATATGCGTTTTCACATGGATCACCACATTGACATATTGGATCACATTTTACCTCTATTCTGTATAAATCATAATTTAACTGGCTTTTCATGTATCTTAATCGAGTATGATAAATATTCAACTTTCTAACACCATAGGAAAAATATGGAGGTGCAATGACTTGCTCTTTTTGTATGTATGTCTTGAATTGGGATGTAGATGTACAATTTCTACCTGCTACAGGAATAGTGTTCCATAACCTTACAGTTGATGGAATAAAAGAACACGTTGAGTGTTTTAATCTAGTATATGGAATCCCAATATTGTCTGAATTTCTTAAATTATATGATATATTGGAACCTACAGTGGTTGGTACAATGTCTTTAAGGTAAGTTGGGGCAATATTACTTTGTATTTTGTAGAACAAACATAGCTTGGTGAATCCCATCAGCTATGGGAAGTTTGGAACGGGTACAGTGCTAGCAGCCCTTGCTAATCCTACATGGGGATAATTGATGAGCAAACCATAGTCTAAGGGAGGCAACTCTGCACAGTCAGCGAGGCTCCCTCAGCCAGTAGGAGTGAGTGAGTGAGTTGGGTTTAACACGGCTTTTAACAATATTCCAGTTATATTGTGGCGTGTCAGCTTAATGTGGGAGGAAAGCCCAAGTGATGCAGGTCTCAGATGTTTACCACTTCGGTGAAACCCACATGCACGGGTATGGTGCTGACAAACCTAGAAACATAATCAGGGCGAACCGGCATTTGAACCCACAATCATAGGTTTCTGGCGTGCCCAAGGGACGCAACTCTGCGCAGCGATCAGCCAGTAGGACACCTGTGATACAATGTTTCCATTCTGGGGACTTTGTTTGACCCTGGTATGTTGAGAGGGTTTATCTTACAGGTAAAATGTTTAAGTTCTGTAGTATCCATTTCTGACTGCCATTTCAACATCTGCTAGTTGTAACATAATACTTCTGAACACTTTTACAGAAAGTACATATTTGGTTAATAAACGATAAGGATGGGTTTACCAGCTCAATCTATTCTTAGGAAAACACAATTTGAGTACTTCAGCTTTCCTATCACCAATATTCAAAGAGACAATCAAATCTATATTCAACTCCCTCTTCAAGGAATCTCTTCAAGATGTAAATGCAACAAGAGGCACAGGAAACAAACTTAGGACATACAGGAAAGTTAAAAATGAAATAAAATTAGAACCCTATCTCAGTCAGAGTAAAGTAAGAAAATATCAAGTCCACTTTTCTAAACTAAGATTAAGTAACCATAAATTAAATATTGAACTTGGAAGACATACAAAGCCACCAACCCCACTACATCAGAGGCTATGCTCTACATGTTCAACCATTGATGACGAAAAACACTACTTACTTCACTGTATTAAACACACTCAAGAAAGAAATATACTCTTTGGAAAATTATCCAGACAAAATGTAAATGTAAATGTCCACAGTCATGAAGATAAATTATTTCACTACATCCTGTCAAAAAACGAAGCAGTCAATATCAACTGCATTTGTTTCCATATCTATCATTTCAAACAATAAATACCCCTTCATATTCAATCGTTGACATTTTATGTATAATAATATCATCAAATATGTAATATTGATTGTTTTGTTTTTGTATGTGTCTACAGGAATGTAAATTATGTATGTCTGTATATATGTATATATGAATCATAATGTCTTGTCTTTTAAAATTGCATCTGTCCCGTAATGGAACGTTTCTGCAATAAATATTATCTTATCTTATCTATCTTATCTTATACCTACCGAGGAGACCACCATATCCACATCCAATGTCTGCGAACTCCACCTGGTGTTTTGGACAAGCTCTGTCACTGGAACCATCGATCACAGTATCTGGAGGCTTACAGAACTGAGGGTAGTGTTCTGACCAATCCATTTGCCAGGGATCTACTGGACTGAGGAAAGATAATGAGTGCTACACTAAAGAGAGTAACAAACTTATATGTCTCTCCACAAAGTGACAAATCCATACCCACCATACCTTACACATCTCAACAGGCAATAAGAAAGACTAAATGATCTGAGAGCAGACTTTGTCTTAGAATTATTTCTGGTGCGAGGTTACTTAAGAGGTAGGTATTGTCATATTGTAACACTAAATATAAGCTCAGAGTGCTTACTTGAGTCAAACTCGACTCTATGATAAGCTTAACATGACACTTGAATAGGTCCCTAGATATTAGTGTCTCTACTGTATTTTGTCTTTTGTTAATTTGCAAAACATACTCTCCATAGGTTTATGTTTTGACTATTTGGCAAACATTTTATAAATGGTACAACAATATCAAATTTCACAAGATGAAAATCCCCCAAAGATGTTATTGACTTCTGTTTCCTGTAACAAGACAACAATAACGAAACGGTGCAACAGAATGACACCATGTAACAGGTTAAGGTGTCAGTGTGGTTCTTGGAGAACAGGTTCCTGGAGTCTCCATCATGTGGTCAAATACTGAAAACCTGTGGGAAGTGAAGTAATGAAAAATATTTGATACACTAAAATAACAGATCCATATGGAGAATTATGTTACGGACTTAAGGTGCGACTATACACATATTGCTAGTCTACGAGCCACAATCAAATTTATACATGTTCAATGTTTGATAATATTGTCAAAGTGAATGACATTTGCATAAAACGTTCTACTTCTCCAGATTTTTTAAATGAATTCTTTAAATGCAGAGAGTGTTTGATTCTTAACCTATACATAAATTTGAAGGTGATTAAACAATGTTGATGGTCTGACACAATATTGTTTGAAGCGTCCGGAAAAGATATCCATCATTGCACCATATTTCATACAGCATTGTTTTCTCCAAAACAAACATAACAAAAGAAACGAAACGTGTTCATACTAATCAAAACTGTGATCAGATATCGGATTTGAATGAGCTCTTTGTCTATAATATCTTTTCTGAGGTAACTTCTGAGTTGCCATGTTGCCGGCTTCTTTCGGTCGGCACTTCACACCGGAAGTCACACGTGGGTTATTCTTCCGGGTAGCTACGAACTCAATCTTTTACACGTGTAATTATTGTAATAAACGACAATATCTCATAATATTCTGTAATTACAAACTACAATATACGTGAATACAATTATATGTGCTCATTCATACAGTAGATGCGAAGGAAGAAAGATTGTGAATGTACATTTTGGATTGGAGTTTATGAGTTGACATGGCAGCTTGCAGACAGAGAGGACCAGTATCTGTCACTAGCAGTCGTGTGTAGTGTGACATCAAGGTGTGTAAAACGTTTAGTAATTAGGTATATATGCATTATATAATTAGATAAAAGCAATTATGAGCGCAATTATTTATTATTTTCGGAATCAGTTACTTAATGCAGAGAGACATTAAAGACACGTCACCAAAAAACATGAAACAGGATGCATTTGAAGTAATTCTCATAAATGTATTTGCTTCAGTGACTTCAGAGCCTGTCAGCGCATTTGGGTAGATCATGATTTCTATAGTCATGGCTGTCTTTGTGAAATACATGACAGTGCAGGATTAATGACATTTAGCGGTATCTATTTGCAAAACATTTTGTCTGCTGCATTTCTTCGTTTATATTTATCATGCAGTGTTTGAATGTGGCCAAGAAAACAGGTGCATCTGTATAGTGCTCCCTGCTGCACATGCTTCTCTGATCATTAGGTGTGTTACGCTTACATAGAGGTTATCACGCGAGTGAGTTTGGGGATGGTAAATTTCCTGCATTAGGAATAAACATTGTATTTAGTGAGCCTTGGCGAGCTAAATACATAGTGTTTCTTCCTAATACAGGATATTTATCACAAGCGTGATAACTTCTTTATCATATAATGTCATTCTTCAATTCTGTGCTTGAAAATCGCTTCCCCTCACTCGCGCATTAATATTTATAATGTCACAGGGTAAATGATGTGTCAGTCGGACAGCATGGACAGTGACAGTAGCCAATATAGTTCCAACTAAAATCTGTTTCTTATACAGTGGCGAAGCAACATATACACAAAACAACAATTGTTTTTACTTGCCTTTCGCGGCCATCCATCGGTCTGTCAGCTAGAGTAACTGTCCTTTGTCAAAGGGAAGCTACTCTAACCCTAGTCTATGAGACGTCACGGCCACGTTCAGACGTTGTTGAAAGTCGGCCTGTTCTGTCATAACGTTAAGAAGTTCAGTCAGATGTACAGCCCCAAAACAAAACAAGGTAACAATTCATACATATTTCGCCTAAATCCAACTATTTTTATTTGTGGAAAAGGTTTCAAGCCGCAGAGGTCTACAAGCACAGATATGGCTACTGATCCCGCTTGGCTAGGCCTAGTGCCCTCGCAAAATTGTTTCGAAATTTATATCTCCAAAGTTGCCAAAACTTATAAAATGCCTTAGTTACGTCGCATTTCGACACTGGTTTTCAGTACATAAGACTGTTTATTTTATAATTGTAGCAATTATCCCTGTAGTTTATCCAGATTTACAATGGTTAATTCTGACTCAATCGCCGAATGACAAGTGCGACGCCATGTTTGTTTATAAACACTGAAAGTAGTCCATACTTGACCTTTGATATTTGCATCTCTATCCGCATATGACCCCAACAGATATCGTTTTTATCCGTTGGCTTTATCCTGCCGAGAAACCTACCCATTATATGATAATGTAGGTTATCCTGGAATAAATAAATTGAAAGCGCTTCCGTGGCATTTGATTGGCCAGAAACCATATACCGATATATGGTCCCTGGATTGGCTAACCCTGCAATATTGTTTGCGTGGATGTTTCCATAAACTGAAAAATTATGCCACACCCACATACTGTTTCCTGATTGGCTGATCATAGAATGAGCGGGGCTTGTGTTGCATTATTGCGTTGAATGATGTCACTGATTTCAGACTGTTTACAGCTTTGTGTGTGTTAATCATTAAATTTGATGTCTCTGAAGTAATTTTTCTTAACTATATTAACTATATATATTAAAAGAATTAAATAATATTTTTTGCGATCATGGAGATATCACTTTGTGCTTTTCTCCCACATCAAATGATAACCCATGAAAGGAGCCTTAGCCAAACCCACTCACTCATACCTATTTTTATCAAATGTTTCTAAAGATGAAGATGTTATTTGAGGTAAATCCATAACTTGTAAGTTTTGAGTTTTGCAGAAAGAATTTACACTTTGTGCATATGCATTAATCAGGTAGTAGTCACTAGTTACTTAAAAGATAACTAATTGTCTGATAGTACCTGTGGTCCTGTGGCGAAGTGTCAGCTAAGTAATTCACTAGCCTTCTGTCTATGAGCTGGCACTAATCTGAAAAGAGCGTGCCCACTTACATTGATGGTTTAAGTTCATGTCAGACAAAGCAGTGAAATGTCAACCTACTCAACCTATAAAAAAAAAAAAAAAAGTTTTTTCATATGATTGTGTATTCTCATGACTCTCTATTGGGGGCACGGGTGGCCCAGTCGTCTAAGGCGCCGCGATTCGCTGTGCAGAGTCGCGTCCCTTTGGCACGCCAGAAACCTATGATTGTGGGTTCAAATCCCGGTTCGCCCCGATTATGTTTCTAGGTTTGTCAGCACCATACCCGTGCTCGTGGGTTTCACCGAAGTGGTAAACGTCTGAGACCTGCATCACTTCGGGCTTTCCTCCCACATTAAGCTGACACGCCGTGATATAACTGGAATACTGTTAAAAGCGGCGTTAAACCCAACTCACTCACTCACTCACTCACTCACTCACTCACTCACTCACAACTCTCAACTCTCTATTCCCCAGGACCATGAAGTAGGCGACCACAAGATCCCTCACGATGCTGCTGATTACGTCTCTCTTGTTCGTGGCTCTGGCCGTGCTCTGTGCCATCTTGCAGTTCTGGGCCCATCGCACACGGCAAGATGAATCTATCGGCAACAATCCCCAGTTCCTCAAGTTCCAGCGAGGCTACTACCTGGTGTACCTGGTCGCCATGTTTGCCGACTGGCTTCAAGGACCGTACCTCTACAAGCTTTACAGTTACTATGGGTTCCAGGAAGAGCAGATCGCCGTTCTCTACGTCTTCGGGTTTGCCTCGACTGTCATCCTCGGATCATGGACTCCAATCGCTGCAGATCAGTTCGGTCGCAAGAAATTATGTGTTGTGTTTACAGTCACCTATTCCTTATCATGCTTGCTCAAACTATCGCGAAGCTACATGATATTGATCATTGGACGAATCGTTGGCGGTGTGGCAACATCGGTTTTGTTTTCAGCCTTCGAGGCTTGGTATGTTCACGAACATCTGGAAACTCACGACTTTCCTAAAGAATGGATTTCCCTCACATTTGCTAAAGCCTCATTCTGGAATGGTATTCTCGCCATGACTGCTGGTATTACAACAAACATTGTGTCCGAATGGTTCGGCCTTGGCCCTGTGGCGCCGTACATGCTAGCCGTTCCGTTCTTGATATTCGTCGGGATCATAATTTCCACACACTGGAATGAAAACTACAGCGGGCATAAGGTGAAGTTTAGAAAGGTTTGTGGAGAAGGTTTTAAGAGCATTGTTACCAACGAGAAGATTTTCATGATCGGTGCAATTGAAGCCCTGTTTGAGAGTGTTATCTACATTATAATATTTCTATGGACACCAGTATTGGATACAGGTCACCCATCTCTTGGAATAACATTTTCGAGTTTTATGGTGTGTATTCTGATTGGTCAGGCTGTGCACCAAATCCTTACTTCACGGAACATTCCAGTGACTACCATGTTGATAGCAGCGACTGTAATAGCCATAGCAAGTATGTCAGTGTGCGTGATAGCTACTCACCCCGAGCAGCGGAATGTGACAGTCACGTACCTAGCTTTGCTAATGTTCGAGTTCGGAGTCGGAATCTATTTTCCATCCATGGGTTTTCTCCGCAACCACATAATCCCGGAGACACACCGTTACAGCATAATGAACTGGTTCCGGATCCCCCTCAACCTCATATCTTGTGTTGTGTTGATGCTGCTGCACGAAGACGTGTTCCGGCACGGCAACAGGATGATCTTCGTTATCTGTATAGTGCTCCTGTCGCTCGGACTCCTGTGCGGGATCAGGTTTGTGAAAATCGCGAAAGACGATGAGAACTTGAAGCAAGATACCATTATGACAGAGAGCGAACATATTCACAACATCTTTTAGAATATTTCTTAACATGTTCTGGAATTTTTGTGTTCTTTGGTCTTAAAGATTTTGTTTTAGGGTATATAGATGCTCAAGAGATTGTGTATCAGGGAATGTAGACCTCCAGTCTGACTGATTCAAGGTCTGATGGTAGAGGTGAATGAAAACATCACTGACAACTCAATCTGTCGATTGAAAATGGATAAGTTATGTTATATGAATGAAGTACAAGGACATTGTTTGGTGTACCAATAAAGAAGAAATCCTGATGTTGATGGACAGCTACCTTGACCATAGTTTAGGGAGAAAATGCACAACTGCATGAATAATATCAAAGAAAAGGACTCGTATCAAAATCCAAGAAAACTACCACGGATGTATGTTATGTGTTTGTTTTGTATATCATTACTGTGTTTGAAATTATGGGGGTCCTTGGATCCTTAAGGTTTGCTGCTTAGACAGCAGTAGAAACTAACAGTTTTAGTCCACTACTTCTTATAATGATAACATATAGCAAAACCCTTAAAAAGGGCAAATTTCTACTAGTCCTTATTATACCTTAACTATTGGGCAGTTTCGCAAGGACTACAGGACTAGTGCCAATTTCTATCGCTGAGCTATAGTATTTTAATTTAGGAACCCTCTAGATCTTGCCAACGTTTAATGTTGGGGTCATGGAAGGTCTATATGACTTGCTTACTTTCTAACCCTGCATTATCTGGATGGGGATACACAAGAGATAACTGTTGGCTCCACTCCACCCAGACATGAACAGAGTGTTCTGTTGCTTGTTCCTGAATGTGTCATGATCATTTTCCACACCAGCGTTCTTGTTAAAATACTCAGCAAATCGGTAGGCCTCTCGTAACAATTCACTACATGGAGTCATGAGTGTCTGTCGCTACGGATTTCAGAAACCCGAAAGAAATCTTAGTGTCATTGACAGAAACAGTTTTGTTTTGAATCTTTTGTGTCAGCAATATTAGTTCTATCATCTTTGTACTCAAAATACCAGGTTACCTTTTTTTGTCCGGTCCGGGCTATTTCTACATTTTCTATGTCTACTGTCTTCAAATGGCTTCCCTGATGTTTGTTGAAAACAGCTGACTTCATTTCTTATGTAGCCTTTAGAATACATCAACATCATTTCTGTAGGCAATAGTTTCATTTTGCACAAATGATATGGATAGTAACCATGGTTACTCCTGTATACTGGGGTTTTGACCTGACATTTTGTAAAGGTCGCCTCACACCAGCAATGCTGTTAGGAGTTGTCTCCCCTGTATCATGTGCTTGATCTAGAATTTTATGATAGCGACATGAGAAGACAACACCTACTTTGGTATACTCAGACATTGGGTAGTTCCTAGCCTTGCTCCAAGGCTGTACTGAATATTAAGTCCATAGATGAATAGTAGTTCTATCTTTATGATAGGCAAGTGTAGATAAGCCGACCCAAGTCTCTTGTAGGGACAATATGCTCTTAGTATTTACATTATCTAGGAATTATGATTTAAGCTCATAATCATTTCCTTACAGACTTGAGCAAGTCTAGGCAGTTCTGTCATGCCTGTCATGTTCATAACAAAATTGAATTAATTTATTACACAAGTGAACTTGGAAAGTAAAAATTTGAGTTTGAAAAAACTAACTAGTTTTATGAATATTGAAAATCAGCATGAAAAAAGCATGATATACATTCAGTTTTTATATCAACTTTTCTTCAAGTAAACAAATGGAGAGAATGACTGTTCAAATTTGAGCCACCACTAACATAACGGTTGAAATATCACATGACTGTCATGTGTTTGTTAAAGAGGCTCGTCTTCTGTGGAGGGGATGTTTTCCAATTTGATTTCCAATGTAGAATTGCTGATGCATTGTTTTGCAATACCGGTATTCACTAACTGACTCACTCAGATTGCTCAAGAGTCTCAACAAGATAATTCTCATGACTTGAAATGTTATGAATTTTACAGGGTTGGGGAAGACTGGTTGTGAATATAACTCCGTACAATTTAATTAGCATGGTCAGAATATTACTCATGTTAATGTATCGGCTGACTTTAAACTTATGAATATGGAATGACGTGAGACGAGTTACTGTCCACGTATGCAGACAAGGTGGCATGTACACATTATTATTGTGGTATTATTTGCATTTTGTTTTAACAATAACATATTTACCATATTTCAGCTGTCATGGTTCACAATGTTGTGTTTGTGAGCCATGTACAGCCATTGTGTTTTTGTTTTCATTCATTGTTTATTGTTAGTTACCATGGTTACTGTTGTTTTATTTTGCATTGATGGGAGATTTGCATCAATTCACAATTTAGATAACCAACTATGTAAATAATAGGGCTGGGAAGATACAACAGCTGTGCGATCCAATACGTATCACGATACCTTGCTCACGATCCGATATGTATCACGATCTGTGTATGTGCTCGTATCTGTAGTGTAACCCATATTTTTCATAGACAGGATAGTCAAATATCTGGCACAGTGATGATTTACAGTTGGCAGTGTCAAGATGGCGCAATGGATGAAAATATCTACTTTTTCTCTACTAATTAGTGTTTGGTGTAACAGTCATTGAAGTAAACATTTAAGGTATGAATCGATATTTTTTACTTAGTGTGCGACTGTGATCGATACTTGTATCGGGAAGTATAATATTGCGATGCATCGGCGTATCATCCCACTAGTAGTAAATAAGATATATTGCTTATTATTCTGTGAAACCTGAAAAAATATTATGTTATTTTGAAACCAAGAAACATCGGCAGGGTTTTATGTGACGCACAAAGGTGTGTTGAGATTGGACGATGAAAAAGAATACACTGCATCCCGAAGGACGGACAAAAATATTCATGTTACCTACAGGTCATTAAGAGCAGTGATGGGTGTCTGTTATTTCATCCATCCATCATGACAACTATCCACATGATCACTGATTCATTCCAGATTCTGAAGTAATCATGAAACTGTACAGTACAGTACAGTACAGTACAGTACACCATTTCATTACTTTACAGAACCCTCATATTGCCAGCATTGACTTTTAATATTAATTATTTGGGTCCCTTGGACCCCATGTTTGAAGGTCAAGGTAACACCCTGTGTCAGTGTTTACATCCTCAGGTAAAGTTTTAATAACATCCACATTTTCTCAGGTTTCAGCCTACCTACTTACTCCTACATGCTGCTTGGATCAATTTTCTAATGGGTCGGGAAAGAATTGAATGTATTTGATTGCTTGTATTCACTAGTGTACCATTAGCTTAGGAAGGTCAAATCCTGGTTCGCCCCAATTATGTTTCTAGGTTTGTCAGCACCATACCCGTGCCGAGGTGGTAAACGTCTGAGACCTGCATCACTTCGGGCTTTCCTCCCACATTAAGCTGACATGCCGTGATATAACTGGAATACTGTTAAAAGTGGCGTTAAACCCAACTCACTCACTAGGGAGGTCACGGTGTCTTGATCACCGGGGACTATGTTCTCCATACACCCTGCTTGTACAGGAGGACAGGGAAGATGACTTCTTAAATTATTGATAGTGTCACAGGTCAGCCAACCACATACATCATTCGGCAATTAACAAAATACAACTGTGAGATTTAAGTGTGCCTACAACATGTACAAGTAGAAAATATTTCTTAAAAAAATTAGTTTATTTGAAATTGTTATCGGACATAAATCTCTTCAATTTGCTTGTGAGAGAGTACGGGGATAAAGGGCTGGTTTAAGAATGTGATTTCTAAGTGTGTCTTTTACATGTGCTGAAGGCATGTGCACTTTCTAACAAGGCAGGGGGACTTACTTACACTGTGCCATTATGATAGGGATCTTCAAACCCTGATACTGACCAAATTGATTTGGTGGTAACCATGGTAACAACTAGAGTGTATACCCTTTTTATTTTTTCAGATAGAAAGTACATAACAAGACCTGTCATTCACACACCTTTCAGAATGTCCATTTCTGTCATAATTTCACACACACAAACCTTCATTACATGATTTGCCAGTCATTTAAAGTTTTGTCAGGATAGATGATCCCAGATGGGTGTTGAGGTATTTAGCATGTTAGGTTCAAGAATGAGAAATGTACCTCGTCGGTTATCACGTACACAGTACAGCAGCCGTACCTGAAACATCCTGGTTGTGTGTCTGCCCGAGGGAAATGTTACACAGCGTGTCACTATTACAGGTGTAATGAGACGGAGGGTCACAGTACAATACATCTCTCCATGCAATATATGTGACCCACTTGGAGAAAAAGAGACCTTATGGTTGCTAGGATACGATGTGCTATGACGTCATGAAGACGTTTTCTGTCATCTTACTTCAGTGAAGACAGCCATGTGATACCATGTATCTCTGGAATAAATATGAATTGAAGCCTGTGAATTGTATTTTTGTGTTCCAAAGATGCTGTTGAGTTAAAATATACTGAAAAGTCAAAATGTGATTTTTCATCCATAAGGTCCCTTATCTCATGGCTGGTCACATATATCAGGACAGTCGTTTATTCCATAAGTTGATACGCTTTTGTTTTTCAGGTGAATCACAACCCAGAATCATTTGTTTATAAATTTCATTGATCGAAGATAGGATATTGTAAGGCAGGAACATATAGGAGAGAGGGCACTGTGAATGCATGCTGTTTAGAGCCATACAGGAAATACTATTAATGGCCAACTCGAGACTACATAATCTGGTTGTTGGACAGTTTTGTTATTCACACCAACATTACTTGTAACATAATGCAATGTATATTATGTATTGCGATACAGTGATTGTGAATCAATGTATTGTATCGTGGGCCTTGTATCGGGATATAATACTGTATCACTGTACCTATGTACCGCTAATCACGTGGGTTTCTAGAATACGTTTAACTGTCCTTGCATCCTGCCAACAAACTGCATACATTGAACAAAAGTACCGATACTTGGTTACCATGGTTACTTGTTATCCATCTAGTTTTGAAGGGTGATATGGTAGTGTATGGAGACTTTGAAAGTGTAAGTAGTACATCGGTTGGTTCCTACATGGGTTGTGTGAGGCGTAAAACAACATTCACTCACATTTTAGACTAACATTTAGTCCAAGAAAGAAAGTTATCATGATTAAAAATATAGATATACATTAAAATATGATCCAAAAGTACCCAGATTCTTGCTTAATTTCAGACCTAGAACTGTGTTGTCAAATCCTTCTAAACTTGATTAATATTCTTAATTTCTTATCGAGGGTCTAGGAACCTCTAACACTGTGTATATTATTTGTATATAATATCCAGTTCTTTCAATGTGGTTGTTAGCTCAACTGGGAATACACCAGTGGAGCTTACACAATAGTGTGTTGTCCATCTCGCTGTCATGGTTTCCTGGCAACGGGTGGCTTGGTATTGGGTGGACTGTCCATCTGTAAAAACAAGGTCAAGGTCATGACCAGCCCGGGTGATGAAATTGATGAATATAGCTCACGGGACCAGACAACTATTAATGGAGTTCAGAGTTCAGTGATGAAAATGAGATGTATTTGATGATTGTAAATTGAGCAACTATCGATAATTGTTACCATATTTGACATTTGGAATTGGACAGTTCCTTACAGAAAACAGGAACAGTTGAGTAACCCTGTCATCATGGTCAAGTAACTTGGTGGGACGCGTGGGGTATGTGTGTTACAGAGAGGGGTTGAACACCCCTCCAGTGACCAAACAGTTGTGTAACCCTGTCAAGTAACTTGGTGGGATGTGTGGGGTATGTGTGTTACACAGATGGTGATGTGTAATCATTGCGGGAGAATAAATCTTTTTCACTGTCTGGTGTGACTTTCTTCTTCACTGGCTTTGTAATTATCGCAAGTTGATGTTGCTTTCTGCCAAGTCAACAAAATTCCACTTGTATCACAGCAGGCCTCTAAAAAATCGAGTTTGGACCAGAAAAGCAAGAGATTGATATACGAGCAATGTCCCACATACAATGACACACAATTAACCAAACCACAGAGTCTGACCACCTGCTCCAAGTTCGTCACTTCTGAGGTACTCACATGCGAAGATTTGGGGTAGAACTGGTCTTCAGCAGCCCATGCCTGTCGTAAAAAGGCGACTAATGGGATCGGGTAGTCAGGCTCGCTGACTTGGTTGATGCTTGGCATCGTATCCCAATTGCGTAGATCGATGCTCATGATGTCAATCACTAGATTGTCTGGCCCAGACTTGATTGTTTACTGACTGCCTTCACATAGCTGGAATATTGCTGAGTGCAGCGTTAAACAACAAATAAACAAACAAATGAACATAGTCCCCCTGTGGCACCGTGGGCTCTCCCTGCACGTTGCTGGTGATTGGAAGGGGATACTGTGCCAACCCAACTCGTCACTCTCCAACAGTATCCTCCTCAGCCCACACACCAGAATATCAAAAGCAAGCAAGGTAGATCTATTTTGCAATCTGCTGCTTTGAAAAAGGGGGGCACTTATTTAAACTATTAACGAGTTAAATTTGTTGTCAGAAGCTTAGTTCACATGTCAATGATCCAGGGCTGGGACGGTTAATTCTGGTCCCCGGGTCAGGTGGGTACTGAGTAGGACCCGGGTACCCACAGGACTACCTGGACCTGTAGTTAGTCACGTGATAAATTGTTTAATGCCAAAAATTATCTAGAACTCTATGGTTACACTACAAGTCACTAATGTTCACATTTCTTTCTGACTATGCACCCATTCCTTCTGACTTTTCATATGGTTGAATAAAGATTAATAAATAAATAAATAAACTTAAGTCAACTGCAGCGGATGCATGACCAGATAGTTTAATACCTGTATCTACATACGTTTTGCAAGTGCTGTGGTAAAAAAATTCCCAATCGGACATTTTGTATCTCTTGAGACCTACAGTGGGTCCCCGGGGAGGGCCGGGTAATAGGGGGTTGGGTACCTGGGTAGGGTCGGGTAATAGTGGGGTGGGTACCCAGGTAGGGTCGGGTAATAGCGGGGTGGGTACCCGGGGAGTAAATTTGGACTCGTCCCAGCCTGGTGGTTAAAGCGTCCGCTCGCCACGCCGAAGACCCGGGTTTGATTCCCAACATGGGTACAATGTGTGAAGCCCATTTCTGGCGTAAAAACATACTCACCCCTTCAACACTGCTGTTTATGTGCAATACACACAGAGGTTATTACGCTGTGTATTTCTGTATCATAAATATATTAGGATTACAAACTGTATTATCGGTATGCAAGCCTTCGGTGACGATAGTGGATAACTTGTATTTCTAAATATGATGTGGAAACACAAGGGTCATATTCTCCTTACAATAGGACATTCTTAAAATAATTGATGTTGAAGACGCTTAAATGTAATGCCGCTCAAAGAAGTAACTTTAGACATCATGTATGAATAGTGTTAGAGTGAACCGACGCAAGTGAAATATATCACAGCAAATGTGTCTAACCAATGCCTTCCACATATTGTGACTACCAGATCGTGAACCATGCTGGGGACCTATTCTGTCCCGGAATACCCAGGAGTGAGTGAGTTGAGTTGAGTATGACGCCACTTTTACCGATATTCCAGCCATATCCAGAATCCCAGACAGCGGAAAAGGTCTTCAAACATTGTACCCACCATGCGAGGAATCAAACCCTGGTCTTCAAACATTGTACCCCCCATGCGGGGAATCAAACCCTGGTCTTCAAACATTGTACCCCCCATGCGGGGAATCAAACCCTGGTCTTCAAACATTGTACCCACCACGCAGGGAATCAAACCCTGGTCTTCAAACATTGTACCCACCATGCGAGGAATCAAACCCTGGTCTTTAAACATTGTACCCCCCATGCGGGGAATCAAACCCTGGTCTTCAAACATTGTACCCCCCATGCGGGGAATCAAACCCTGGTCTTCAAACATTGTACCCACCATGCGGGGAATCAAACCCTGGTCTTCAAACATTGTACCCACCATGTGAGGAATCAAACCCTGGTCTTCAAACATTGTACAGACCACGCGGGGAATCAAACCCTGGTCTTCAAACATTGTACCCACCATGTGAGGAATCAAACCCTGGTCTTCAAACATTGTACAGACCACGCGGGGAATCAAACCCTGGTCTTCAAACATTGTACCCACCATGCGGGGAATCAAACCCTGGTCTTCAAACATTGTACCCACCATGTGAGGAATCAAACCCTGGTCTTCAAACATTGTACAGACCACGCGGGGAATCAAACCCTGGTCTTCAAACATTGTACCACCATGCGAGGAATCAAACCCTGGTCTTCAAACATTGTACCCACCATGCGAGGAATCAAACCCTGGTCTTCAAACATTGTACAGACCACGCGGGGAATCAAACCCTGGTCTTCAAACATTGTACCCACCATGCGGGGAATCAAACCCTGGTCTTCAAACATTGTACCACCATGCGAGGAATCAAACCCTGGTCTTCAGCATGAAGGGCAAACGTTTAACCACTCACCTACCCCACCGTGGGGAACAACAACAACAACAACAACAACAACAACAACGTCATCAGAAGCAATAATTTATTTGCCTTGATTGGCAGTACATAGTAGAGATGTAAATGCTGACACCTACAACAGGCTACGACTATGACAATATCAACAAGGCCATTGTACCTCTCTTCCCCTTATTCAGGCACTGGGATAAACAGACTCACAGACAGTGTTGTTGCAGGATGGATGGTGCAGGGAGCACCTAAACCCCTCTCGTTAAAACATTCCTTGAATATTTCAATTCCAAATTCAAACAATAAGCTCTTGTTAAGTTTTTGAATAGAATCTATAAAGATGATTTCAAAACGTTTTTTTATTTGAAAAAAAGAATTACTTAAATCAATTAAGGTAAACATGTTCGGTTGAATTCCAATCTACCAGAAAAAAAAAGGCACCATCCACACTGAAATAAATAGGGAATAATATGCAGTAGATAGTCTGTTTATAAAGCTGATGCAAAAACAGTTCTTTGGTTCAAGGAATGACAGTTGAAAAAGGGTTAATATGTCAAAATTAAAAAAGGAATTTAAAAGGAACAAGTGTGAAGCAAGTTTCCAGTGGCCTGGCCTGACTCAAAGCGTACAATTTCCAACCCATATTATAAAAGAATATAATTTACAATAACCTGCTATACACTGACAGTCCCTACATATACATGGTGTACTCTGCTGAATATGTCTGATTAATGACAGTTAAATACTTTCTTGTACAAGAGATTATATCTGGTACTTTCCCCTTGCATAGGTAGTTGATCTTTAACAGGGCCATCTATGAATTAATCCCAGGAGGTTTTAAAGAGACAGTCAATTAACAGTTGAGACAAATCCTGGTGATATATTTTTCTGGATACTTAGTTTTTTAAATAAAATTAGTATTGAAACTAAAAGTTCATTGTTCCCTGTGTTATAGGTGTTAATTTCATTAGTAAGAATGTAGGCAAATTATCTCCCCTTGCAGGGAGAAACATTTTCACTTCTGTAAAATATTTATGTGTTTAAAAATGAATTTGACAAAAACTCAACAAAACATGCACAGTCTACAATACAAAAAACAAAATGGACACATGTCTACAATATCATGAATCATATTTGGTTACTTGTACAAAGAAATAAAATTATTATGTATCTTGTAAAACATTATACTTCGAACCCTGACAAAGCTATCCTCACTGAATAGTGTTGACACCAGGTGGTTGCCACTCACTGGTTCATACATCCACTACTTCAGTTACCTCCCTTTGGTGGGGAAATAGAGTTCTGGTTAAAAGCTTGCCGTCGAATGTTGACCTTTGACCTTTGACCCTTGACTCTGCATTTGTCAACCAGTTTTCATCTTCAGATTAAGTTTGGGGTAATTCAGTTTTCAGACTAGACTATTCATGGTTTTCAGTATTAATGATTGACATGTACATGTATACAACATAGAAACACAATCCGGTATCTATTACGAAAGAGGTTTACCCTTGTAAATGTTTGGTTTGGTTTGCTTCACAAATGCATGATCATGGGAATGGTGTTCTGAGATCATTGCTCCAACAGCAGCGGGCAGTCAAGGGGTCACATGACATGTCATGTGATTGTCACATGTTTACACATCCATCATACAATCAAGGCTTGTCACTCACGATATTCAGTTGAAATTTTGTCACTGCATGTGATGTTGATATTGGAAAATATATTCCAGTAAGACTAGAAGTATTTTTCAAGCGAAATAGAAATTCATGCTGTTAATTTTGTAACGACCTGATTCCATTATATGTTTAGAAACGAATCGTTGAGTTTTCAACTTAACACGGAATGATGAAACAGATGTCTGCACGTTGAAAACTGGCATCCACACATTCTGTACAACTGCAAACATGAACGTTCTATCAAAATGTAGAATAAAACAGGAATTAAAAATAAAATGATTTGTAGAACGTATTTTGTGAAAGTTTCAGTCTCAGTGACAAAACAATTAACCCACACTCACTTACTGTCATGGATACAGTATGTTTCTGCACTTTGATATTTACGTTTCCTACGTGTAACAAGTTGAACAAGTTGTCTGCAAGTTGTACACAAGGTGGACCACCCAACAAAACAGTCTCTCATAATCTGCAGCAATTAAGAACGCAACACTTGACAAGCTCTCCACTTGGACACTTCATTACTGTAAGCGAGAGACAGCCTGAGTTATCTGCCCTTGGGTAGCACATTGACTACCACAGCTTTGTGGCAGCACCACCAGGGGGAGCTGCAACGCGAGTGGTTGAGCGCCGCGGAGCCTTGTCATCTATCTGGGCACCTGGAGAAGAAAAAGGGACCAGATTAGGTCAAACCCTGAAGCAACAAAAGGAGGGAAGCATATGATTTCTACCAGAAGAATCAGGACAAGGGAAAATGAAGCTAACATTTTGGTCATGTGTGTGATGATATACAGTAAACAATAACACTAGTTCTTGTTCCCCCGAGATGCACACAAACATAAATCAGGTCTTTTATTGCATTGTTTCCTGATCATCGACAAATGTGGAATAACATTAAAAAAAACATCCCTGTTTCTGAAGTTGAGTTTGAAAAATGAATAAAAATTTCCAAATAAGATCAAAATTAGGGTCCATCATTGTTTTGGTTTTAGCAATGCTCTAACAATAAGGGGTCCCCAAGATGGTTCCATTGTATCCATATCGGGAATCAAACTCAGATGCTTGGTTAAACAAACCAATGCTTTAACCATAAGGCCACCCCATAAACCCAGATCACTGTGCGAAGGAAACTATTTCGTCAACATATTATGCTTATTACTCCTTAGCAACTTACCATACCAACCATATATACATATTTAAAAGTATAATGTTTTCCCACTACCTTCCCAACACTTTTGACAAAAGGTACTAAAATTAGGAGATAAAACAAAAGGGGCAAAGGGAGAGAATTCTGTCCCCCACAAGCCTACGTTCGTTTGTCACTTGTAATGTAATGACATTAGCCACATGCAGTAATGAGTGAGTGAGTGAGTTGGGTTTAATGCCAGTATTCCAGCTACATCACTGCTTGTCAGCTTACTGTGGGAGGAAAGCCTGAAGTGATGCACACAAACCTAGAAACATCATCAGGGCCAACCAGGGTTTGAACCCATGATCATAGGTTCCTGGCATGCCCAAGGGGCACAACTCTGCACAGCCTTAGCTGACTGGATCACCTGTGTCCCATGCATTTATCAATGTGTTACAGATGAAGATGGATCTCGTACACAATAGCAAACTTGGACATTTAACACATGCAAAAACCTTGACAAGATAATTTAAAACTCACTACAGTTAAAATCAAGTTTCTCAACAAAATTCATACCATCAGCAACAAGAAACAACTGAATTATCAACATAGTTTTCTACATAGAGAAAGAAATGTTTTACTCTAGTTGAGAAGTACTCATTTCAATAAATACAAACAAAACTTGGTAGTCTACATAATTTCAAAATACAAAGCTAATAATCTGTACATGTTCTATTCATATTTCCTACAAAACTGGTAATAAATATGTATATTCTAAGTTAGAACTATTTATTCAGACAATAGAAGCTATTTCAAGCAAAAACAAACAGTAATGATTGTCTGTCCACAAGACAACTTCAGAGGTCCTATGCATGTCAAGCAAGAGAGAGTTGGAGACATTCAGTAGCAGCTGTTTTCTCTTGTGGAGGAGAAAAACTATCAAGGTACGACATGCAAAATCTAATTAAAATCTTGTTTGCCGATCTATTCATGGGGCACATTCTCTTAAACTACAAACAACAATCAGGCATAACAAGACACACGAACGATCCACTATTTCCTGTTAGTATGAGAGCACATTCGCTATGAGAGAACATTCGTTTAGAGAGGAAGACTATGTCAAGCAACACAGTAATGAATGGATGAGGTTAGAATAGCCATGTTATTTGACATGTTGCGGAACCAGACTTGCCAAGTCTACCAGTTTGTCCGGGAGACAGCCGTGTTCAGATAAGTCTACCATCTCATGCCAACAGGGAGAATATCATCAGGTATCTATGCCAGCCTGCCTAGGACACTCGACTCGGGGTCGTTGAGTACGCATGTTGGCAAGTGTTGTAAACAGTGGATGACAAGGATAGCTATATGATAGTTCACTCAATCAGGTCTTGTGAACAAATGGTCGAAACTGAAGCAATCGTAGAGTATCACGGACAATTTGAGATTGTAGCAGGACTTTGGTGGGGAAAAGAATGATATACTCTTTTGAGAAAAGGAAAAGTAGCGTAAAAAAATAAAATAAATGTTTTCTCTTAAATACCAAAGCCCATGGGGGAAGGTAAAATTAAAACAATTGTATAGTTTTGAAAACACTTTAACTTAACAGAATTTGTTGTTTTTGTTTTAAATCAATAAGGGTAAAAAAACATTAAAGAAGAAAATTTTGGGAGTCACTAAGAAAAGGTTATTTTTGTTGAAAAAAAAAAGATTTCCCCCTATGATAAATGACTGGTACGTTAGTTATGTTACCCCTTACAGGCAGTGATGTTGTCATGTGTTTAAATGTCCGCCTCCCTGATGTCACGTTATGTCCCCTGGAGCAGCCTCAACTCTCACTGACAACCTCATGTGTCTTATACTCTTACGTAATTAATTAATTTTTCTTTCTTTTTTCACTTTCAGTCACTGATTTCAAGTGGCACAAAAATGTCTGAAACCGTTAGTCAACCGGTACAGTGACTTGACAATGTTGAAAATATTTTTCGTCACATGTTGAAACATGTTTTGTTTCTCGCTGTAGTGTACTACTGTTATTTTGATGGTTATGCAGTCAAAATTTCATGCAAAATGGAATGAAAGTTTCTGCATGGTTTTTTTTGGCTGTATTTCAAGGGAGATAATGAGGTCGCTATGCAGCGTTGATATGGGGGAATACTTAGTGCAGGGTAGGAAATATACCCCTTTGGCCAAATGAAAACTTGGCAAGCCTGCCTACCACTGAAGCTAAAGCTGGAGTCTTGCAAGTTTCGTCCACCTCCACTGGTTAATGGTCGGTTGTGGAACTCGGCCGAGTTGGCGTCAGGGATAATGGGATTGCTGTGCACGGGTTTCATCGACAGAGCGTTCATCATGACCTCAATGACGGGGCCGGTGTAGGGGTCACGCTCCACCTTCACTGGTCGGCGGGCCTGACACAACAGAAAATTACAATAACATGCATGTCACACTTGTGTGTGTGTGTGTGAGTGTGTGTGAGTGTGTGTGTGCGTGCATGGTGTAGTGTGTGCGTCTGTATGAATGTGTGGTGTAGTGTGTGTCAGTGCATGTGTGTGTACGTGTGGTGTAGTGTGTGTGTGTGAATCTGTGTGCGTGGTGTAGTGTGTGTGTGTGCGTGGTGTAGTGTGTGTGCGTGCGTGTCAGTGCATGTGTATGTACGTGTGTTGTGTACTCCTGTGGTGTAGTGTGTGCCTCTGTGTGTGTGTGTGTGTGTGTGTGTGTGTGTGTGCGTGTGCGTGCCTGTGCATGTGTGGTGAAGTGTGTGTATATGTGTGTAAGTGTGCGGCTTGTGTGACACCGCACTCTGCAATATTCCAGCTATATGGTGAGAGCCTGTAAATAATCAGCACCAAACAATCACGTGATTGATATTGTGAGTTCCGATCCAAGCTGTCACTGTTCATGACAGGAGCTCATACTTTCGTGATGGGTGTAACTGTTTCATGAAAAGGTTTAACAGTTCAGAACAAGACACGGACTCACCCTTTCCCTCTCCTTCACTCGTCCGAAGACGTACTCGGAATTACAGTTGGTAGGGATGAAGCGGCCAAGACCTTGAGTCACCTTCAGCTGTAAGACAAGGGAATAAGTCAGCGATGTAGTTTTACACCCGTCACAACCGTTACATAATACACACTGAGAAACCCCATCAGTAAAGACCCACATGTCCCGCCTACCACAACTACTGGTGGGTATTTCGACATCAACACAAAGGGAGGTAACTCAGTACCAAGTATTCATTATTTGGACAAAAAATTCCACAGACCATTACCACCCGACAAAGGGGGTCCTGTAGACGGAGTGAGAAGTGTCATTCCTACAAGACCCAGAAAATATGGGACAAACTAACCTGTCCTTCGTCCAATACAACATGCCCGTTCATCATGACGTACAGAGGGACACCATGACAGACCATTCCCTCGAAGATGTTGAAGTCCACGGCCTGGTGATGAGTCTTGGCCGAGATTGTTCGTGTCTGGTTAGGGTCCCAGATAACGATATCTGCATCCGAGCCAATTGCTATCCTTCCCTGTAATTGGAGATCATATTCTAAACATATTCATATTCTAAATCCTATTCTGTCGGCTTCGAAACATTTATGTCATTTACACCCCAGGGTGAACATGAGCTGCTGATGCACTGCAATATATTGGGAGCTAAAGTGTTGGACAGTGATTGATACAGATTGTACATGGAGATCCTATTTTCTACATACTACAGTAAATATTACGCAGCATGGTCAGTTGCCGCCATTTTGTTGTCATGGATACAGGGGAGCTAACAATGTGGGAGAAAATCACTCACACATTTCTGCAGTCTTGTAAATCAATTTTGCAACAGTGTTACCAATGAAAATACTCCTAGGATTCTGTTATGCTAAAGGGAGTTAATTCTGCAGAACACTTTGTGCCATCTGACGTTACCAGGCCACCTGTGTCCCCTCAAGGACGTGTACACTGAGACAAACCATAAATGTATCGCAGGAATATCGGTGTGTCATGTTTATCTATAGGCCCACACTCATAGTTCGGGATGTTCATACAACTACTTTATGAGAACAGAACAGGAATGGCCGGCCGGCCAAGGTCATGTCTGGACTGACCCACAAGATCCAACATTTTACCCTAAGGTGAACACTGTCCGACTGCCAGGTATTGTCTTACGATACCAATATGGTCAGCCTGCAGTATCCCGCACCCCATCCACGGAGGACGGCTTCAGTGGCCACCGGCTCCTAACTATAATGACAGGCACTGTGATTGTCGAGATAGATGTATACTCAGCATCAAAAGAAACGTGAACATCATACACATCTTGTTTCTAATAGTTGTTGCCTGAAAATCAGCTGTTATATTTCTTCAGCCGAGGATACCCATCACAAGTTTACTGACCAATACATTGCTGTGATTACCCTACACACAGAAACATATTTCACTCACCTTCTTGGGGTACATGTTGAAAATCTTTGCAGCATTTGTACTTGTAACAGCCACGAATCTACATGGGTCCATCTTACCATTGTGCTGTAAACAAATAGTGTCATCTCATACAGAAACAGGCCACAAAGTTAAAAAAAATACAAAGGAGCCACTTGGCTCCTAAATGTTTTTTTCAAGGAGCCAAATAGAATTTCAAGGAGCCAAGACAAAATGTAAGGAGCCAAAAGTAATGACTTGTAATTTAACTGAGCTTCTGCATAACAAAACACCAAAAAATCCATTAGTTTGAATAATCAGTTTTATATCATGAACAACAACTGTTTTTGAAGCTTTTGAGTTTTTCAGACAAACAAGCTTTAGAACATTGTGTCAGTAACATCATCTGACAGTTTACCGGTGCCAGTTGCAGGTTTTGGTTCATCGAACGTGTCGACAGACGATGAAACTTCCGTGTAAGCTTCGCCATTCAAAGCATTCCGTATTTTCTTGAGTAAACTGCGCATTTATTTCCAAAAAAACACAGCTGTGTAGAAGGGGGTGCGCATTATACACGAAATAATGAGACATTACCGTGAGCACGTAACACCAGAAATACCATGTCAACAAATCCATACTGAAGTACGCAAATTAATCATGTAATTACACTGTCTGACTATAAAAAGTGTTCTTTGTATATCTGGACTTATGTTTGTAACTTATTTCATTAACTTTATTCAAAATTACTTTTAATATTGTTTCAATTAATTTCGGCGAAATCGTGTGTGAAGCGATCGGAAGATCGCACAACTAACGGTTATTAACAGAAACCACGGTCACATTACCGCTATTGACGCCTTGAAACGAACTTTAGTTGACAGAGAATGGATACATATGTCATAAATGCCATACTTTGACTCGTTAAAAGTCATATTTGTTTTTGTTGGACGATTCTATGTCAACACGTAATTCTCGCGATCACGCGATCACGTGCGCGTGAGCCTTGACGGTGACTGGTCAGACTGTGTGTTCCATGTAAAACCATGTAATTAGGAGATAAACATACTGTGTTTTCAATGTAGAGCTAGGTTACCTGTAGATTTAACCCCGCTAAACTGAATTTGGAACCGAACGCGCAGCGTGAGGTTTCAAATGTTAAATTTAGCGCGGTTAAATCTACAGGTAACCTAGCTCTACATTGAAAACACAGTATGTTTATCTCCATTCTACCATGACTAAATAAAATGCGAACTCTTTGGTGTTAGCAAATATACTGAGTGAAGCGGCATGGGTTGAGTTCAGTGTTTTGAGTGGGTTATCGATCTGAATTACGGAATCACCGAACAAATTATGGTGCCGTATATACTCAAGCAGTTTGTTTACACCGTAATACTTCACTCTAACATATGACAGGCATTGAAAGCATATAAGCACGGCAGCTTGGTAAGCTGACATGAGGTGGGCATCCCTCAAGAAAACAAAGCAAGCTTTGCAAGGCTTTCGCTCTACATCGCACGTCACCATTATGACGTCATATCGCTCATTGTGACGCAAAGAAATGACGTCACAGTCACATATAGAAAAGCCCCAAAATTCCAAGCTCTCTGTGTCTCCAAAACATAAAATCATTCCCTGTGTAGATTTCTATCGTGTTTTCTGCACGAAATGTATTGCCACACATCCTTTGAATATTGTAGTAACCGCGTCTGTGCATTTTGTAACCTGTAATTACAGATATAATTATTTAAATATGCCTACCGACACTGACTGAAAATAGTACTATTCTATGAATATTAGCTTCCGCGGTGATGCGGCCGTCAAATCAACTGTTTCAATCAGAGGGGGTTTATTGTGATTTAATAGCCTCTGATTGACCAATCAGAATCGAGTAAATTCCAAATTCATGGTAGAATACCCGGTAATAGCAATCAGCTGCTTCGCTTAGGGTTATTATTATTTCAAATATGTTTAGTAAAAGCTGCATCTAAATTAACAAGATATTGGAATACATTATTCCTGATAAAAAAATAGTTTCAGATACAATGTTTGCCCATCCTTGCATTAAAACCCTGTAAAGTTATATCATTGGGTGTGTCTTGACTGAATCAACGGTAAATTCCAAGAAAATGTGTGTACAGCTGATTGCTGTGTCCGGCTTAGTTTACGAGAAGATACACATGGTAACCCTAATCCCTGGATATAAAACAATGCCTAGCAGAACAAAAAAATACAATTTAAACGGTAAATCAACATGTCTGGTGATTTTTTATCTCAAATTTCGAATTTGTACTGACCAAGTTTCTCATCACCCGTTTGTTTGCCGGACTTCGCTAAAGGGGTAGATATATCTACGGTGTAAGTTTTTTTCTGCGCTTGGTAGATCAGGGGTGGAAATTTAAAAAAAAACATCTTCACTTGCCATCGGACAAGTTTAAAGACAATTTTCACTCACCCTGATTTTATTTTCACTTGCCCAAATAATTTCAAAATAAAACTTCAAATCATCAATAGATCAATGTGTTTATCTCTTTCAACACCCTAGGCCGGTTTTCCGGCCAAGCCGTAGTCACGTCAAAATAGTATATATTTTTATGGACCTACCTATAATATCATTCATTTATTAAATCTATCACATTTCACAATGTCTGAAATACGTATTCCACATCAATTTATCATTTTTTATCGATAAATTAAAAAAATATTTACTATTTCCCGCAATGTTATTGAAAATATAATTCTCGGACACACATTTCGACAACGGGTCCTCATCGAACATGTCAAAGAGCAAAATAAAGACGTTTTAAACAAATCTTTAAATACATTATACACAAGTAATAAATAAAATCAACAAAAATATATCTAAAAGTAATCAAACTTACATCTAAGTTATTATTTCCATCTTTTCGTGCGATCGCGTGTAATGTAAGTCAAATGACATCTCGGCTTTCGTCGCCTTAATTTGGCTTAAATTCTCGGCTCGGACACGATGTTTAATGCAAAAATATATGCATGAAAAATCTATGTCACAGCTCGTAACCTAGCACGATGCATTCACGAAGTTCCATATTTTTAATATATATCGTGATTTCCTGCCTTTTAGTTCAGAATAACGCGATTTAACAATAATCTTTCGCCAACTTCTGAAATTGATCAAACACGAGCTTGGGAGGCTGCCTGAGGTCATGTGCTCAAAATTGACCAATCAAGAAACTTGTAGCAGATTTCGGCAAGAAAGCGTCATTAGAAACCAATTTTAATCTAATGAAATTGCTTGTTATAACTACGGAAAAAAACCAGGCGATGTTACGAAAGCGCGATTACGAAATTTCTCTCAGCCAATTTATTGTACCATTTTAAAAGTAGTTAGACATGTAGACAGTGATAGTAATTTCCAATATTACTTGCCTCCGGACAAGTTAAAGTAAGTGATTTTGTTGCCCGACCTCGTATTTCTAGTTGCCCCGGGAGTCGGGAAATGGCAAATTTCCACCCGTTTTTCCCCCCAAAATACTGAATCCGCTAGAGAGGGTTGCGCACTATACTAAAGAAAATACGGTATTCATCATTTGTCGATTGACAACGATTTGTTGTTGTTTTGACTTGCGCAAATATGGAAAAATACTTCGTGTTTTTGAACGGCGAAACGACCGCCACAGCTGTCACCTGGGCGCATGTCGTACAGCGCATGCGTGGGTACTAAACTCTTAACATCGTTAGTGCATTACTTAATAACGGAAAGTGCTTCCTTCATTCCAGGTATGGAGCTTCATATCGAACGCGAAAACAGAACACATGGCCCAGCAGTGATCTTATCGATGTTATTATGTTCTGATATCGATTTTTTTCACTGAAGTTACCGCACTTATATTAAAAACGATCTTTTTTAATATCTTATGACAAGAGATATTTAGTCGCCAAACTTAATTAAACACAAGGAGCCAGTTGGCGACTGACATGAAAATACCAGTCGCAAAATACAAAACTAGATCGCCATGGCGACCAATTTAGTCGCAACTTTGTGGCCTGAGAAAGTATACAAAATTCATGACCTTATTACACAATGCAGTTGACCAATTTTCAGGCCTTTAAGACAAGCCTCAACTTCACTGCCATTTAAAGTCAAGCCTCAAACTAAGGCCATTTCAAGCTAAACCTCAAACTTAAAGACCTTTCTGAGACCTATATTAGAACTCAAAATCCATTTTGAATGATTCAGAAGTGATCTCTTTGTTCTACTTACAACGCCCTTCTCCCAGATGACAGACATTCTATCTTCAACGCCATTGACGCCATTTGGAATATTACGGAAGTCATCTTTGCCTAGAGCTTTCTGATCAGCGTTGAACGTGCAGTTATCTGTGCCCGTGACTTGAAGGTCGTTGCTGGATTATAGAATGAGTGGGTATCAGGCTTCACATTTCAATAATACAATAATAAAACATACAATTACAGATCAGAATGCTTTAAGAAGATACAAATATGTTTCATTTAAAAACACTGCCCTATAGTGGACATTTGGGTTGCATTTTGAACCATTTTCACACAAATTTAATATATTTCAGGGAGTTACCTCCCTTGCACCACTAACAAGAACCTGTGTTTCTCTAGGCCTGAACTAGTATGTACTGGTTCACAGTTTGAACAGCATTAAGAAATGTTGCAGCAATATTAACAGATATGCATGACTGAAGTCCAGACACTTGTTTTCTTTGCCTAAAGAATTTTGTGAAAAGAAATCTGGTTTGTAGGTGTGAAAAAATAAAATTAAACCAACATTTCAGATTTTTTGGTTGGTTCTATAACAATCTGAACATGTATTCTAAAGACAGTCCATCATTCTTACAGGTTGAATATTGTAAATGTTTTTACTGTGATGATCACGTACATTTGATTTTGGTGGAGCTTTTCAGATTTGAATTTTTTTTCCATTTCTCTGACAAGATAACTCACAATTATTGCTCTATGTACAAACAAAGAGTTTTGAAAATGATTCAATGTACTTGCTGTATATGTTTCTATGGAAACCGTATCGCCCACTTACTTGGCCAGCAGATCCATGAGATAGTCGGGTGTGGTGGGGTCTGCCCGGAGAGGGGGGCCCATCACATGACCAGCAGCATGACGCCAGCATTTGTTGAAACAGTGAGTACCATCGGTGCCTAAACTGGCGGCAATAGGCTCACCAAATACTATATTACCTGCAAACAATATATATCTCATGTCATACCAGTTGCAATAGACGCACCAAATACTATAATACCTGCAAACAATATATATCTCATGTCATACCAGTGGTTAAAACAAATCTTGGTTCACCAACACAGCATGACTAACAGGAGAACTTGATGTGTTTTTTGCTTGTTTGTTTTTTATCGCCACAATCAGCAATATTCCAGCTGTAAGGGGGGGCTGTCTTGAAATAATCGAGTCTCGAACAGACAATTCAGTGATTGACATTATGAACATCAATCTACGCAGTTGGGATACGATGACATGCATCAACCAAGTCAGTGATTGAGAGTCGTCAGAGAAATGATTGGTTGGTTGGGCACCATTAATGGTCTTATGAAGGATGACGATAGCGGAATTTGGTACCGTGCAGGTCGCTGTGTAAGGAGACAGACTTAATGTGATTCCATCCATATCTATTTTTCATGAGGGCATTAATTGTTGAATAATTTATTTCAATTAAGTTTCAATTTTGATTTGTCATGTAATTAACTTAGTGCTTTTATACAGGGAAGATTTTTCACCAAAATGAAAGAAATTCTTTAGAGACTACCCGACCCGTTAGTCGCCTCTTGCGACAAGCAAGGGTTGGTGAAGAACCATTCTAACACAGATCATCACGGGTCACATAATATGTAGAAGGAAAGTAAATGATATATGAACAAATAGCAGAGGGATGGGCTAAATCACTATTTCAACATGGCCGACATAGTAGCCATCTTTACAATCAGATCAGAACTGTGTGAGCCCTTTCAATTAACACCAAACTGTGAACATATATATATCAGGTAACCAGGAACATTCAAGGTTGTATTTCACCCACCTTTTCTCCTTGCAGCAGAGATGACATCGGCAGAGCTCTTGCTCATGACGTGTACAATGTAGAGGGGTGCGTCAGCCTGGTTGGCTATCGTGATGGCTCGCTGTGTTGCCTCCGCCTCAACCTGTAGACACAAACAGCCCAGTCACACATACTGTAGTAATATAAACCACCCAGGGTATCTGCCAATGTCTTCAGGGATGAATGCGCCTCCAGCAGTTAACAGTATTTCTGATATATCACGGCATGTTGGCTTGTTGGAGGAAGTACACATGCTACCAAACATAATCAGGGAAATCTGGGGATTGAAACCATGATCTAGCGTTCCTAAGGGATGCAACTCTGCATGGCAAATTTTGATGCTTTAAGAGATGTGTAGCATATGTACAGCATTAGAAACTGGCACTAGTCCTGTAGTCCTTGCCAAACTGCCCAATAGTTTAGGTATCATAAGGACAAGTCAAAATTTGCCAATTTTAAGGGTTTTGCTATATATTATCATTTTAAGGACTAGTGGACTAAAAATGTTAGTTTCTACTGCTGATGTACAGTATTCTTCTTAATATATAGGATATATCCCATGAAATTTAGTAACCTCCTGAAATATGATATAATACAAAACCTATAAGCATTGATTGATTGATTGATTGATTGATTCTACTCTGCCACTCACCTCCTCTGGTCGACACAAGACATGGCCCTCAGGGCCTGAGATTCCCATCTGCAGCATCTCCCGAGATTTCTGAAGCGGGAAGACTCGAATATAGAGTCCTGTTAGCATTACAGACCTGGGAAAGTTAACTTGAACTTGATACTCGTGCAAATATTTCCCCCCGTCAAAAAATGTTAACTACGGCCTTGCTTAGCGCTGATCGTAACTCCCATACTTTAACATAGGCTTACAATAGTCTTAGCGCTGAGATGATCGTAACTCCCATACTTTAGTGAGTGAGTGAGTGAGTATGGTTTTACGCCGCTTTTAGCAATATTCCAGCAATATCACGGCGGGGGACACCAGAAAATGGGCTTCACACATTGTACCCATGTCGGGAATCGAACCCGGGTCTTCGGCGTGACGAGCGAACGCTTTAACCACTAGGCTACCCGACCGCCCCCCCATACTTTAACATAGGCTTACAATAGTCTTAGCGCTAAGATGATCGTAACTCCCATACTTTAACATAGGCTTACAATAGTCTTAGCGCTACGATCGTTTTGTGCAAGTGGGCCTTGTGCCCAGCTGGTTAATTACACTCTCATTGATCAGGGTTTCAGGTCAGTTCTTTTCAAGGACACTGACTGATTGTCATCCCAAAGGTCCAAAACATATTGGAAGATGTCAAAAGTTGATAAAATCGTGAAAATGTCCTAATGTCATTTGTCCAATCTAAATCACAGTTATTATATACATTTTTTTGTCTCTCAATGAAATAATCTAAGGGGAACAACTCTGCTTGTTACCTCCTCACTGACATACTCCAGTAATCTAAGGGGAACAACTCTGCTTGTTACCTCCTCACTCACATACTCCAGTAATCTAAGGGGAACAACTCTGCTTGTTACCTCCTCACCCACATTCTCCAGTAATCTAAGGGGAACAACTCTGCTGGTTACCTCCTCACTGACATACTCCAGTAATCTAAGGGGAACAACTCTGCTTGTAATCTAAGGGGAACAACTCTGCTTGTTACCTCTTCAATGATGCTCCCGTTCTCTGCATGCACCATAGCGAGGGCACCAAGCTGTTTACATTTAAGGAAGGACTGGTACAGTTCTGTGTCCGACAGCATGAACACATCCTTATAGGCCAGGAACATCTTGAAGGAGTTCACACCTGGAAAATATCACAACACAAATGCACTTGGAAACCAATCAAAGTCATAAGGAGAATTTGTATACCCTTACAGGTAAGATGCAAATATTAAAAAAAACAATTTGTCGTCAGTAAAAGTTTTGCTTCCTTTGAACAACTTGTGCATTACGGGTGTAATGCTAACCCCTATGGACGTTTGTTACTTGCAGTTCTCCTTTAATAGTGATTCACTTATTTGACAGCATATCTTTTCAAATAGTTAGTTAAAAAAGTTATGAGGTGAGATGAAGTGTGGTTAAACATTAAGATTATTGCACTTACATAGCGGCATGCATGCACTTGCGTGCATGGCTGCTTGTACCAGTCCGGACTAATGCCAGTTTTATAGTGCTGGCACATTGAGGTGCCATGCCGAAGTTTAACATGAACACCCCACACAGTATACTGACACCAAGCCCACCAGTCCTTGTCTTAGCCCCTTAGCCAGGCAGGGTAACAACAAGTACCACCTTTTCACATCTTTTGGTATGATGCGGCCATACACTTTCCGGGCAGACGCTCTACCACTAGACCACAGAGGCGGTCAATAAAGTTAGGAAATGCTACTGGTGAGGTGAGGTGATATGGGGTTTAACGTCGCATCAAAGATTATTGCACTTATATAGCGACGTGCATGCACCTGTATGTGTGTGTGTGGCTGCTTGTACTAGTCCGGTCTGATGCCGATTTATAGTGCTAGCACACTGAGATACCATGCCGCAGTTTAACATGAATACCCCACTCAGACACAGTATACTGACTCCGAGCCGACCAGTCCTTGTTTTAGCCCCTTAATGCCGAGCGCCAGACAGGGTAACAACAAGTACCATCTTTTAACGTCTTTTGGTATGACGCGGCTGGGGATCGAACCCGGGACCTTCTGCTCTCCGGGCGGACGCTCTACCATTAGACCACGGAGGCGGTCCCAGGAAATGCTACTGAGGCAACTGATGCCTTGATACAGTAAACTACATTTATAACGAACACCCTTATAAAAAACTTATTTTTTAGTCCTGGACATTTGTTGTATATATGCTGTAAATATGCTTTTAACGAACTACGGTTATTACGAACAAAAACTAGTGGTCTCTTTGAGTTCGATATAACCATAGTTTACTGTAGTTATTGATATGAGCCAGATGTGTTCCTTCCACAGTGGGCACACCGTACCGGGAGTGAGCATGGCCTCACACTACAATATTCCAGTCAGATCCGACAGATCCTCTATCCACTAGACAACGGAGGCAGTCATCACGTCACAACCAGAATGGCAATACAAGTGTAGAGACAAGAACATGTGGAACAGGCACACCCCAGGCTACCCCACTGTCCCGAGTGGAAGATGTGTCTGGAGACGCAGACGCCCTACAGATCCTACAGACGCCCTACAGATCCTAAAGAAGTCCTACAGATCCTATAGACATCCTATGGCTCCTACCTCTCTCATTGCACAGCACCTCCATTTCATTGGCCACCTGCTCACTCCACCACGTCACTGCAACGTGGAGCCCGTAGTCACAGCACACTTTCTCGTCAGCCCAGGATCGCCATTTGTCGTAAGCATCCAACAGAGACACACCCTTCTGATCCAGGACAAAATCAACTGAAAGTGGAAGGATAGATATTACAGAATGCAATTGTTTGTTCCAACAATATATTTATTCTTCTTACTTTTTTACCATTTAATAAATAATATAGTTTCCGTAATATTTTACCCTTCTTAGTTTCAACAAAAGGTTTCTCCACCTAATTTCACAAAAATATATCCCAACCAACTATCAGCCAGATATTTCTCTTACCAGCCTCTATCCAACCTAACTTCATCACCAGTGGGCTCCCCTACATTTCAGGACAATACCATCTTTTAACGTGTGTTGGTATAACGCAGCCGGGAATCGAACCCAGGACCTTCTGCTTGCCGGGCAGACGCTCTACCACTGGACCATTGGGGGAGTCGAAAGTATTGACAGACTTATCCGGAGATGACAACAATGCCCACATGAAGACCAACCCACATTCTCTTGTGTACCCAGCTTGTGTTCCACTCACTTATCATAGTGGTTCCTCCTGCCAGAGCTGCCTTGGTCCCGCTGTAGAAGTCGTCCGCCGCCTGTGTCCCCATGAAGGGCAGCTGCATGTGCGTGTGTGTGTCGATGCCGCCTGCAAGACAACAGAAGTGTAGCCAGCCTTGTCAGCACTGTACCACAAGGATAACAACAGGAGATGACATGTCCCCCAGTCTGGTGCAATTCAGACAGTTTGGCTACTTATACCCCACTTTGGGTTCATTGCCATTGGATACCTTCAGTTCAGTAAAGAAAAAAATCCCAAATCATCAAAAGTTCACCACTAGACTGATCTATATAGCAAGTTTCAACAAGTAATATTTAACATTTTTGGAGTTCTGCTCCTGAAACGGAAAAGGGATGGCTGATAGATGGACGGACATGGTGTTGCTATAGCCCCCGATTTTAAAACAGGGTGGGGGTGTGTGTTAAGGGGGGAGATATATATTAATGTGCAAATAAATAATATGCTAAAGCATTACCGAGTCTATGATTCAATTTGCACTCAATTTACATTCTCAGCTCCCTGGGGAGTATACAACCCAAGCTGGTTGTGAGGCACTAGAAGGTCAACAGTCACATTATCCCCTTTTTACCAGGATGGCTCCAGGCTCTTCCTACAAACTCCCTTGTTACAGGCTAATGACTACAGACTCTCTGGTTGATGACTCAAGGCTCTTCCTACAAACTCCCTTGTTACAGGCTAATGACTACAGACTCTCTGGTTGATGACTCAATGTTCTTCCTAGTTACTCCCTTGTTACAGGCTAATGACTACAGACTCTCTGGTTAATGACTCAAAGCTCTTCCTACAAACTCCCCTGTTACAGGATAATGACTACAGACTCTGGTTAATGACTCAATGTTCTTCCTAGTTACTCCCCTGTTGCAGGATAAGGACAACCCTCTTCTGAAAGACACCCCAGTTAAAGATTCTATGCTCTTCCTAGTTACTCCCCCGTCAACATGAGGATGACCCCAGGCTCTTCCTATAAAACTTGTTCAAGTAAAATGACCATATATGTCTTCTTCTCAGCTGGTCTGTTAAGGCCAAGCAAACAACTCCTCCGGCTTTGGCACCAGCACATCTGACACGCATGTAAAGACAAATTCTTTCAAATAATCTTACCTGGGATAACGAGCTTGCCCCGAGCATCAATTGTCCGAGCTCCCCCTGGGATAACCAGGTTATTTCCGATTTGTCTGAAAACAAATAAGAAAATGAAAACAAACGAATAAAAAATTATTTTTTTCCTAATAGATTCAGGGTCCTCCTTGCATGATCAGCAAATTGACACAAGCTGTAAGATTTCTGTTGATTACAAAAGCTAGATTAACAGTCAATGGTTTAATCCAATGTCAAACTATTTCTCACAAAGTTCTTTCAAACAATTTATTCCTTGGTGACTGTTCAAGAATATCAAATGTCAACGTATCACACCATTCACACGAACCTGTGTTTCAATTGTTTCACAGTTACCAAGACATTAAACACATAACACAATAGATGTGGTCATGTGCCATTCCACTGCCAACTTCTAGTAGCAGATATGAGTTATGTGAGTGAGTGAGTGAGTGAGTGAGTGAGTGAGTGAGTGAGTGAGTGAGTGAGTGAGTGAGTGAGTGAGTGAGTGTTATGATCCCAAGTGATGTACATAATGTAAGGAATTCCCTCCACACTGTAGAGTGACCATTAACCAACTTTCAGCAACATGACGACTGAGGGTTGGAATTCCCATATCACCAACCAGGCAAATAATGCGACCAGCTACACACCTTATCAGCCCTATTGACTGAGCTGAGCTCTTATTTCTGACCAAGATAAAAGTGGGATTTTGGTGAGTCGGTGAGTGAGTGAGTGAGTGAGTGAATGAGTGAATGAGTGAGTGAGTGAGTGAGTGAGTGAGTGAGTGAGTGAGTGAGTGAGTGAGTGAGTGAGTGAGTGAGTGAGTGAGTGAGTGTGGGTTTATGCTGCTTCAACCAGTAGCAGTGGACACCAGCAATATCACAGCAGTGGACACCAGTTATATCACAGCAGTGAACACCAGTAATATCACAGCAGTGAACACCAGCAATATCACAGCAGTGGACACCAGCAATATCACAGTCGTGAACACCAGCAATATCACAGCAGTGAACATCAGCAATATCACAGCAGTGAACACCAGCAATATCACAGCAGTGGACACCAGCAATATCACAGCAGTGGACACCAGCAATATCACAGCCGTGAACACAAGCAATATCACAGCAGTGAACACCAGCATTATCACAGCAGTGAACACCAGCAATATCACAGCAGTGGACACCAGCAATATCACAGCAGTGGACACCAGCAATATCACAGCAGTGAACACCAGCAATACCACAGCAGTGAACATATCACAGCAGTGGACACCAGTAATATCACAGCAGTGGACACCAGTAATATCAAAGCAGTGGACACAAGCAATATCACAGCAGTGGACACCAGTTATATGACAGCAGTGAACACCAGTAATATCACAGCAGTGAACACCAGCAATATCACAGTCGTGAACACCAGCAATATCACAGCAGTGAACATCAGCAATATCACAGCAGTGAACACCAGCAATATCACAGCAGTGGACACCAGCAATATCACAGTCGTGAACACCAGCAATATCACAGCAGTGAACACCAGCAATATCACAGCTGTGAACACCAGTAATATCACAGCAGTGGACACCAGCAATATCACAGCAGTGGACACCAGTAATATCACAGCAGTGGACACCAGCAATATCACAGCAGTGAACACCAGCAATATCACTGCAGTGGACACCAGCAATATCACAGCAGTGGACACCAGCAACATTTCAGGGTGTCAGGAGAATGCTTTAACCATTAGGCTACTCACTTGATAATTCCATCCTCAATGTAGATGTCCCCGTCGTAAGACTGGTCATCGTTTACGATCTTCCCTCCCTTGATGAAGAGGCGGGACTGTGCACTCTGGAAAATACAAACACACTTCATGAACATCATCATAAATATTGCATTTAGAAGAGAGATACCACATACTTTACAACTGCAACAGTACATGTAGCTGGATGTTTCATGATACAGATTGTGTCCAACACATGTCTCATATTGCCTGACAACACACGCTGATGCCTGACAACACACATTGATGCCTGACAACACACGCTGATGCCTGACAACACACGCTGATGCCTGACAACACACATGGATGCCTGACAACACACGCTGATGCCTGACAACACACGCTGATGCCTGACAACACACGCTGATGCCTGACAACACACATTGATGCCTGACAACACACATCGATGCCTGACAACACACGCCGATGCCTGACAACACACATCGATGCCTGACAACACACATCGATGCCTGACAACACACACTGATGCCTGACAACACACATCGATGCCTGACAACACACATCGATGCCTGACAACACACGTCGATGCCTGACAACACACGCCGATGCCTGACAACACACATCGATGCCTGACAACACACATCGATGCCTGACAACACACATCGATGCCTGACAACACACATCGATGCCTGACAACACACATCGATGCCTGACAACACACAGCGATGCCTGACAACACACATCAATGCCTGACAACACACATCGATGCCTGACAACACACATCGATGCCTGACAACACACATCGATGCCTGACAACACACATCCTCTACATGTGGATGAGTTGGCAGCCATGATGCCAGTGTCTTACATGACTCTTTGGAAAGCGTTGCCTTTTCCCTGCCATGAAGGGCAGCATACTCAGCAATAGAAAGGGGCAGCGGCTTGCTGCATATGAAAGTTTCAAGAACTATACAAAGCGGAATGCTACCAATTTTGCAAGCTGGTTCACTGTCATGGAAGGTCTGATTTCCCCTCCTCACTGACAACAATAGGTCTGTCTGCTACACTTCGGCATGAAAACGAAGTTCAGGACTGCATCTGACACAAGCAGATAGGTATGCCATCAACTTCAATCCAAATAATATTTGTTATTCCAACTCAATCTTGCAAATACCATCATGAAATACCTGCAAAGAAGACAACTTTTCTCTAGCCATTAAGCAAACACAACTGTCTATCTATCCCAGGTAGAATGATGCGTGGCTCATCTAGATCCCCACGGTCCCACTGCAGGAAGCTGCTGAGCAACAGCCTTATCAGAGCTGCCTGATGATGAGTAGTTTTTAACCCGCCATTGTTCAGATGGTGCAAAGGGTTCCTGGCAGATGATGCATCTGTGGAAGACATTACTGAGTTTCTGGAGCCTGGTTGGGGAATTAGGAGTGTGAACATGCCTTCATGTATAAGCTTTCAGATCCAGCATCTTCCAGGCCTATCTAGATTCCCATTAGGAAGGAGTGAATTAACCTGGAGTCTTGATGAAATGTGTCAGTTTGACATTACAGGGTGCCAATTTAAGCATCAACTCAAGGGTCCTTGTCATAACAGAAACAGAATTACATCAATCAAAAGATCCTTTGGTCAAAGTAACAAAAAAAGAAAGAAAAAGAGACCTCCTGAAATTTAAACGCCTTTTCGTGTATCCAGCAGATTTAAACTGTCTATGATATTACATCTATGTCTGACCATCATAAGGACACCGGTAACTCTTATATACATCTATGTCTGACCATCATAAGGACACAGGTAACTCTTATATACATCTATGTCTGACCATCATAAGGACACCGGTAACTCTTATATACATCTATGTCTGACCATCATAAGGACACAGGTAACTCTTATATACATCTATGTCTGACCATCATAAGGACACAGGTAACTCTTATATACATCTATGTCTGACCATCATGAGGACACAGGTAACTCTTATATACATCTATGTCTGACCATCATAAGGACACAGGTAACTCTTATATACATCTATGTCTGACCATCATAAGGACACAGGTAACTCTTATATACATCTATGTCTGACCATCATGAGGACACAGGTAACTCTTATATACATCTATGTCTGACCATCATAAGGACACAGGTAACTCTTATATACATCTATGTCTGACCATCATAAGGACACAGGTAACTCTTATATACATCTATGTCTGACCATCATAAGGACACCGGTAACTCTTATATACATCTATGTCTGACCATCATAAGGACACAGGTAACTCTTATATACATCTATGTCTGACCATCATGAGGACACAGGTAACTCTTATATACATCTATGTCTGACCATCATAAGGACACAGGTAACTCTTATATACATCTATGTCTGACCATCATAAGGACACCGGTAACTCTTATATACATCTATGTCTGACCATCATAAGGACACCGGTAACTCTTATATACATCTATGTCTGACCATCATAAGGACACAGGTAACTCTTATATACATCTATGTCTGACCATCATGAGGACACCGGTAACTCTTATATACATCTATGTCTGACCATCGTAAGGACACAGGTAACTCTTATATACATCTATGGACTGCATGAGAGTACTAATTGCAGGGAAATATTTTACCTTCCCTATGTTAAAACATTAATGCTGTCATTACTTGGTCCAGTGCTGAGAAAATCAAGATGTCTGTTTTCTATATTTAGTGTGTTTGTCATTCCATCGTGAAGCTGGTGGAATCATAATGACCATATCAGGATGAAGAGAACCTACACCAGTCTATTGAACACCGGGCAACAGCAGTGTGCATTCACTGCAAGCTCAATGAGCTGTTATTCAACCTATTATTAAGTATTGAATTTATCCTATCAGGGTGGTTTTTTCGAGCCTATTTACTGGAACAGAAGTATGTCAGCTGCCTATTGTTCACAGCAATACTCTTCATGGTCAATATACTCCTGGTATGTGGTCAATATACTGCTGGCATCTGGTATATTATTTCATGCTTTCAATTTAACTTTCAATGACTGTTTCAAGGAAGACAAACAATTCTAAAAGGGTATATTACAATAGAAGTTATTCCCATGTCTTGATATATCTTATGAGCCAAGAAGCTAAACTTGTGATCAAAACAAGCAGAACACACATAAACATTGATTATTCCAGCTTATTGCAACTCGGTATGATATGACTCGTATCCCCCACTACATCATGTAAATAACACAATATTAAACTGTGATCATTGTATACCACACCCAGAGATGAAGCCCTTTAATCCAGAGATGCAAATGACTGTTTCAGACAGAAATTAATCAGTCACATGTCCCCGAGCAGAGAATCAATACACAGTCTGACCATTCCATGGTGTAGGTCACCCTGACCTTCTGGCTTTTGTCTGACTCACATCATTCTGTATTTTTTAACAATGAAATTATAATGAATGATTTTGTACTGTGCTAATGACCAATAACAAAACCACCTGGCAGACTAAAGGTATGGAATATACCCAACACATATTACCTGCAGATAAGGATCTATTTTGAACATTTTCTTATCAATAATCACCGACTGACTTCTATAAAACAAGGAGATATGTTACAAAACTGTACCATCTACATTAAACTGTACCATACTACAATATCTTCTATTTCCAGTTTGTAAAAAATAAACACTTGTTAAACTTAATAACTAAAAAGTAATCTGAAGAAAGAGCATATATTATGAAACAAGTACTACAATTTTTCAATAGTTAAAACAAAGAGAGTGACAACTCATTTGAAAGCAAACATTAACCACCAATTTGCCGTACAGCTTGTAGAATTTGAAGTAGATAAGATTATAGTTTTTGGTCAGACACACAGTGACAACATTGCCAGACTAGAATGCTTACTCCATGCTCTCTGCACAAGCAGAATCCTCCTGCAGTCTGCAGATGCATTTCCCCATTGCAAACCTCTCCCATCGCAGCAGAACTGGTCACCTCTCACACAAAATGGACGGACTAAACACCTTGCTTGTTGTTTGTAAACATCTCCTCACTGCCACCATGAGCTGTGAAGGTCCAAACGTTCAGGTAAAACATCAATACCACATGTCCCTACAACTGGTCCCGGTGAGATCAGGTGCCGGTCTACACGTCTCACACACACACAGGGTTATCGCTCCCACGTGTAGGTGAGAGAGATATCAGGTTTTACATTCATTCGGTTCAAGTCAGAAATACAAAATGGAAGGAATCAGTCTATGAATAGGGAGTGTGCAATTCGATGAGGAATGATTTAGCTCAGTGTGGCAGATGTGGTACAGTTCAATACTGATGAATTCCTCCAAGTAACTGAATATTGTAGCTGGCGCAGTCAGAGGTAACATGATGCGTCACCCTCACCCATTCTCACTTTTCATCAGCAGATGTCATATAGATTTCAACAGTCTCAGAGCCTTCTGTCGCGACGAGTTCATGTAAATCACCTCAACCCTTCCTCACATAATGTGACATGAAATATTTTTTTAAAAATCCAGTCATCTGTCTCACAAAATATCCTGATATATGAACACATGGCGACTGACAGTGGAAGCAGACGGCAGCACATCCGTCATGGTACAGGAATATGGCAGCACCAACACAAGAGATCCAGACAAGTTGCCGGTGAAAAAACACGGGTTAAAAATACCAAACAAATTTCCAACAGCAGCTATGGTCAAGCTGTCATTGCATCTGCACAGGAAGTGAGAGGTGCATGCTGGGAGATGACGATGGAGGCGGCAGCCTGAGGCAGATCACCTGGTGGACCCGGCAACCTGGTCAGATGGCTTGCATCATGGGAAGTGCCAGGCGATGTTCGTCAGGGCTGGTTCAACGCCTCAGGCACGTTGGCACATAACCCCACATAACCCCTCATTTACCTCCCCTTCAGTAGCAGACATGCTGCTTGCACATCCTGATTGAGACCATTCAGCTTCATCATGCTGCCCCGTGTCAAATTGCTGAACGGCAAAAACGTTGCATAAAATAAATTATCGGGTCTGGAAGATCTTAAAATGCAAGATCTGAGCATGCCTGGGTTTCAATGAGATGGAAGGGCAAAAAATTCATATTACTCATAACATCACTCGTTCACAGACAGCCTATTAGATGTCTGGAGGGGGCATTCAGATGACTTTAAACAGAGTCATGGTATGACAAAAAGGTTGCTTCACCCTATCGAGTGTCAGAAAACATGCTCCTCAGTCCTTGTAATAATAGGAAATGGGATAGGGATAGATCCTTGCAGGGTTGGTCACAGGTCGGGCCCTAAGCCTCTGTTCTGTACAGGGAGGCTGTCTGTGGAAGTGCTCAGGAACATCGTGAGGCTTCATTACATAAACAGGATGGCCCCAGACTCTGTTCATGTGTGTAACAATCAATACAGTCGCAGCAGCCACAACATGCATGAGTAATAAGGACCAGCTCACAGGCAAGGGTGACGGGAGGGGTAGGGGGGATGGGGGGGGGGAAAGGAAGATAGGGGCAAGTTGGGAGGGAGGGGATTGGAAGCCAGGGTCAGGGTCAGGGTGGAGGGTTGGAAACCTGGGTCAGGGTGGGGGTGGGAGGACTTCTAGGGTGAGCTATAAATAGTAGGCAGACATGTTTAGAGAGGTGTGAAGATTGGGGTGGGGTGGGGTGCGGGATTCAAGGTTAAGCAGAACGGACGGTTAAGACAGGAGTGATGAAAGATGGATGGTCTTGGTCCGGGCAGGGGGACGGATGATGGATGGACTTGGTTGGGGCAAGGGGGATGGAAGATGGATGGACTTGGTTGGGGCAGGGGGATGGATGATGGATGGACTTGGTTGGGGCAGGCATGGTATTGGATGGACTTGGCTGGGGCAGGCATGGTATTGGATGGACTTGGTTGGGCAGGCATGGTATTGGATGGACTTGGTTGGGGCAGGCATGGTATTGGATGGACTTGGTTGGGGCAGGCATGGTATTGGATGGACTTGGCTGGGGCAGGCGTGGTATTTGATGGACTTGGTTGGGGCAAGGGGGATGGATGATGGACTTGGCTGGGGAACTGAGATGAGCAAGAGACCCAGAATTCCGAGGCGTGAAGCGACAACATGATGCAATACCTTCGGTATTAAAAACCATATTAGCATATTGATTCTTCCCACAGCACATGCAAATGTTTTATGGATTTCTCTCTCCTTAAAGCTGTTAATAATTGAGCAGCCCAATCTCGCTATGAATCATTCCAACGATATTGTGCACATGTGTCTTGGATCGTCAATTTACTAAACGCCAAAAAAAACCAGCAGTGCTGAAGATTGTAAGTCTGGACAGAGAACAAAGGAATTTGGTCCAAGATTTGGCGCCTGCAGCTTTAAACATATAATCATGGCTTGCATCTGCTCAACGCAAAAAATATCCTCAAATTTAAACAATTCTTTTCCATATCTTCTGCTCACTCTTAAAAACCCTCCAGAAATAAAATCTGTATATTCTTATCGTCAGTGATACAAAAACATGACGTGCACTTATCTGTCGAATAACAGTCCAAGTTGATGGATACCGTATTTATCAGCTAGATAGTTACGAGTGTTATCAACTGTTAACATCCTTGGTTTATCTCATATCACCAGTATGGCACTTAAGTCCAGGTGTACACACACTGACCACCCACAGCTTCACCAAATGATCTTGACATTTAACAAAAAAATATATAGGAACCATATTCTTAAAAACTGGGAAGTTATCAAACTTGGTTGTTGAAAAGTAGCGGGAAGTTCTTTCTTTGATAAGAGGATCTGGCTATCTGCCATGGAGCTCAATGAAGTGACACCCACTGCAATAACACCGCAAGACATATCTTTATATGCCTGCTTTTCAATGCAAGTCATCTGTAAAATTGCAACAATTTAATTCATTTTGCCCAGAAGGTATATACACATTTGCAGATTTTTCCACATCAAGATACAATGGGAAACTGTCATGGCTGATTGGCGTAGAGGGACAAGGAAGAATGTCATTGGGAAAGACATCAGCTGAGGCATGCTTCACCATTACTGACATTTCTGGCTTGGAATGAGCCATGGAGTGAGTGAGTGAGTTGGGTTTAACGCCGCTTTGAACACACTCCAGTTATATCACAGCGTGTCAGCTTAATGTGGGAGGAAAGCCCGAAGTGATGCAGGTCTCAGACATTTACCACTTCGGTGAAACCCACGAGCGTGGGTATGGTGCTGACAAACCTAGAAACATAATCGGGGCGAACCGGGATTCGAACCCACAAACATAGGTTTCTGGCGTGCCCAAGGGACGCAACTCTGCACAGCGAATCGCGGCGCCTTAGACGACTGGGCCACCCGTGCCCCCATGAGCCATGGAGAAGAACTGCTGTGTCAGCAAATAAAAAATGACTAAGTATATGGAGGCTCATACATTCATTTTCCTTGTGTTGTATTGATCCAAGTCAGGTCATAAAACAATCATTACAGATAGAGCATTTGCAACGAGTGTAAGGCATGGGATATGACAAGCACAATCCTTAACAGCAGATCCACAAGGCATGTGTTAAGGAGAACTATTACCCTGCTACAATATGTAGAGATCACAAAGCTGACAAAGAATGTATCACCAATGGAGGACTAAATGGCACCAATCCCTCTTAAGAAATGTTCACACTGTCTATGTCTAACATTGTCCATTAGGAATAAAAAGGAGGGATAAATCATGCCTGTAGTGTTATAAAGTTTCTTCTCACACAGGATCAAAGGTGGAACGACTTCAAAATATCCATACTGCTGTTATCATCATTCAGGTATATATGAGCTATATCGTCCTGGAAACTAGATATTGCAAGCTATATCAGTGTCAGGTGTATGAGCTATATCGTCCTGGAAACTAGATATTGCAAGCTATATCAGTGTCAGGTGATATGAGCTATATCGTCCTGGAAACTAGATATTGCAAGCTATATCAGTGTCAGGTGATATGAGCTATATCGTCCTGGAAACCAAATATTGCAAGCTATATCAGTGTCAGGTGATATGAGCTATATCGTCCTGGAAACCAAATATTGCAAGCTATATCAGTGTCAGGTGATATGAGCTATATCGTCCTGGAAACCAAATATTGCAAGCTATATCAGCGTCAGGTGATATGAGCTATATCGTCCTGGAAACCAAATATTGCAAGCTATATCAGTGTCAGGTGATATGAGCTATATCGTCCTGGAAACCAAATATTGCAAGCTATATCAGTGTCAGGTGATATGAGCTATATCGTCCTGGAAACCAAATACTGCAAGCTATATCAGTGTCAGGTGATATGAGCTATATCGTCCTGGAAACCAAATATTGCAAGCTATATCAGTGTCAGGTGATATGAGCTATATCGTCCTGGAAACCAAATACTGCAAGCTATATCAGTGTCAGGTGATATGAGCTATATCGTCCTGGAAACTAGATATTGCACGCTATATCAGTGTCAGGTGATATGAGCTATATCGTCCTGGAAACTAAATATTGCACGCTATATCAGCGTCAGGTGATATGAGCTATATCGTCCTGGAAACTAAATTTTGCAAGCTATCTCAGTGTCAGTATGAGTGAGTTGGTAGACTAACATTTAATCTCTGAAATGAACATATCGTACATAAAAAACCAGTTGTTCAGTTATCTTAATAAAAATATAATAAAAAGGAGCCCAGTGACTCTCTTCATGTTCTGATACTGCAGTGATCTAGACTTGCCAAACATTATAGACTTGCATGGGCTATTTTTGATATATATTTGTATCAGGGTCTGTAAGACAGACTAGTGAGTTGGGTTTAACGCCGCTTTTAACAGTATTCCAGTTATATTGGGCATGTTAGCTTAATGTGGGAGGAAAGCCTGAAGTGATGCAGGACTCAGACGTTTACCAGTTCGGTGAAACCCGCGAGCATGGGTTTGGTGCTGACAAACCTAGAAACAATAGGTTATATGCGTAACATGCACAACTGTTAACATACATCAGTGAATTAACTACAACTAAGTGCAATATCAAGTTGTCCACATGTGTCATTGTAATTTAATGCTATTACACATAGCTGTGTGTGACTGTGTTTGTCTGTATGTAATGTAGGAAGTTTTGCAACATGTCATAAATATGGGACCATTTCTTCTGACAACAGTCCAGTTGGCAGTCTTAACAACTTTGATTCATGTTGTTCAAATGGTGCTGTGTTTGTCTGATGAATGATGCGAACAGAACAACAACAAAAAGTTATCACAACAAAAATGTTCCCAAAAATATTTGTGATCCCTAACTTTGTATGTCCAGTATACATAAACCTAACAGTAAATGTTCAAACATCTCGTCCTGAACTGAAATCAGAACTGGAAGGAGGGTCACCCAGCAGGGGGCGCTGGTCAAAGGGCTATCAGAGATTGTTCCAGCTAAAGACCCGTGTCAACATGTCACGGCCGCAAGGGGGAAAAGTTTACCTGGACTAAACATTTCACACCTGTAGACAGTAACTACCTCCTATGTAGGAAACACAAGCAGTAACATTCCTGAAGGAGCAAGAATGTCTACAGCATCTCGCCCCAGTAAACACTTTCTTGAAACTCTCCACATGAACACTTAAACAGTGTGTTAGAAGTCACAAGTTGGAAGTTTCAAGGTTTGTATCTTTGTCCAAACACTTTCATCATGATAATGTGTTCGGCGGAGTGTAAGAGCTGTTGGCAAAGCAGTTAAACTGTTGCCCTAGCAACAACACATCTTGTGAATGCTGAGAAATGTACCTTGAATGAAATAAGAATAAATATTTATTGTACAAAAAACACCCACATGGGCCAGAGAGTACAATGTCTATCTACAACA